AGACCCCAACACCTCAGTATCTCAAACTTTTTCTTATAGTACCTTCATAGCTCGAACCTCACTTACTTGAAAAACTTGATAACTCGAATTTTGATCATACCCCCTTCAGATTCGAGATATTGAGGTCCTACTGTATCAGTTTGGAAACTAAAAATTGCTCAAGTTTTAAACTTTAACTGACACTTCTCTTCAACCTCTCTAAAGAAGTTCTCCTATACTACGATAAAATATCAGTGCAGTGTTCATTTGGTAACATTATATTGTGCATTTATTTTGTATCTATTGGCCCCAAGACCATAACTTTCGTCAGTGAGACGGCTGAATTCTGTATTGTTAAATATTCTCCCCAAAGGACGTTGACGTTTTTGAAAGCTTGCAAATTATTATTATTTTAAGTCAGACAGTTTAGACACAGTGTGAAAAGTACAAGTTGTTAACCTAAATAATAAAGTAAAGCATAAGAAATATTAAGTTTGTTGGTTCATTTGCTTTGCTTTAGTTTTACACATTTTCCAATTTTCTTTTGTATTAAAGCCTAACGGATTTATAACGTGTTAAATATTTGAAGAAAAATTTAAAGAATTAAATGTTGTTCAGTGATTCATAAATGCAAACTTAAAGTTAAATACCCCCGCCGCAGCAAACCTGCAGACTAAGCGAATTTCAACCTGTCTGATTAGGTACATTTTTACTAAAATATTTATTTCCATCCCTATCTATATATAAAGCCAAAAGTACCCATGAACTTTTGAGAAAACTACAAGTCACACCCCCATAAACCATATACTTAAAAGGTTCGTCATGACGAGAAACCTTGCGCAAAACTATCCATTATTTCATAAATTGCCCTATAAGGTCGTAATTGCTTTTCAAAGGGAACTTTCCATTTACCTAATGTTAAAAATACCTCAGCTGTTATTATTTGTTTGTATTACCATTACTGATTTCTGTTTTGTTTATTACAGCTTAACTTAACCAATCAATAGTTTTATTAATACTTATGTAGTAAAACGGGGTGGAGCCCGTGGGTAACAGCTAGTTTAAATAACATTATATTTAATGAGTGCTTAGGTTTGCCTCTACAGGGAAGGTGTTTGGGGAAGAGTGTTTTTGACCATACGTCAATAGTATAGGATGAAATTAATAAATATGCCAAATTGTATCAATATATATCCATAAACAAGTAAACTACAACAATTTTCATTTTCTCCATAAGAATAACATGGGAATTTTAAATTACACTATTTTTGAATTTTCTCCATGACCGTTAGGCATACAACAGCGCTTCAATATACCAAATTATTTATTTTTTAAGCTCTACTAAACGGTTTAGAAAGAAATTGCAATTTTTTTTTTGTTTTTAGGGTCAAAAATGGGAAAACCCCATTTTTACCCCATAAACCCCACCATAAAACCCCGTTCCCATGGTCCGATTATGCTGGATCGCGAACTCGTTCGAATAAACGTAGGTTTACACGTTTGTACCAAATTTCATCAAAATTGGATCATTTTTGCTGGAGTTATCACGCTAACGGACATATACAGACTGTCCCAAAAGTCCCGGACCGGTTTAATAATTCCTAAACGACAACAGATAAATCAATAAGATTTTGCACATCAACACCACACTTAAAAATCTACTTTTTTAAGGAACTATAAATTTTCTGTCATATCATGGGGACGTCCCGCAAGGAGTCAGAAGGAAATCTTAAATAGAAGCATAGGTTGACATGCACATCAAATTAAAGACCTTTACTAGTAGATTACAATGCCGTAAATTCAAGCTCAAAAGAACGCCTGAGTAAAAAATGGCAGCCGTTCAAAGATTTCATGAACCTGCCATTTTGAATCTTTGAACGACTGCCATTTTTTACTCAGGCGTTCTTTTGAGCTTGAATTTACGGCATTGTAATCTACTAGTGAAGACCTTTAATTTGATGTGCATATCGACATATGCTTACGTTAAAAATTTTTTTCCGATTCCTAGGGCTGTGCCCCCAAATGCAAATAAATGAATCTTTGAACCACTGTCATTCTTGACTTGGTTGTCCGTTTGAGTTCAAATTTGCGGCATTATATTCTGCTAGTAAAGACCTTTAATTTGATGTACATGGCAACCTATGCTTCTATTTAAGATTTCCTTCTGACTCCTTGCGGGACGTCCCCATGATATGACAGAAAATTGATATTTCCTTAAAAAAGTAGATTTTTAGGTGTGGTGTTGATGTACCAAATCTTATTGATTTATCTGTTGTCGTTTAGAAAATATTAAACCGGTCCGGGACTTTTGGGACAGTCTGTATATATATATATGAATTTGAACGGATGGTGTTTTTGGTCTCTAGGGACCTCAAAATGAAAAATGAAATTGGTCCCGGGTCCAGGTCTTACCATGAGTACTACGGTAATAGCTTATTCCCTATATGGGAAATTCGCTAAAATTGTATTCACATTTTTGTAATTAGCTGCCATATAAAAAATAATAGCACATTAAAAAACTGATCATCTTTTTATTAAGTTACTAGGCTAGATTAGGTTACATTTAAATGTCCAGCAGAGCTTATATTTTATCTTACTAATATTATAAATCTGAAAGTTTGTGAGTTTGTGTGTATGTTTGTGTGTATGTTTGTGTGTGTGTGTGTTGCTCAATCACGCATAAACTACTGGACGTATTGGGCTGAAATTTGGCATGATGATAGCTCACATTCCCGATTAACATTAAAGCATATTCTTATCTCAAAAACCCTTTCGGGCTCCGCCCCAGTGGCTCTGTAGTTCCCCATGTTAATCTTATGATTTTTCATATTTAAAAGTAATTAATGAATCTTAACAGCTGTTTCAATTAAACAAGTTGGTTCTGTTCTATGATGTTCAATAGCATAAAAGTTACAAGGATTACCAACAGGGTCCAGCACTATTATTTTTTTTTTTTATTTATGACAACAGCTAATTTCCAACCAAAAGGTGAGTGAGCGCAGCGAACGAACTTCAACCTGGAGGCGAGTTAGCGTAGCGAACGAGCTAACCTGAAGGCAAGTGAGCGCAGCGAACGAGCTCCAACCTAAAGGTGAGTGAGCGTAACGAACGAACTTCAACCAGGACGTGAATGAGCCATGCGAATACTTATGAAGTTAAACGGGGCGAAGCCCGCGGGTACAGCTAGTAGCCTATATTTCCCAAAATATATATTTTAAGTTCAACATATATAATTTACATTTAAATGCATCATGGTAGTTTTTAAGCACAAGCCTCTTGTCCTGAAGGGCCTGGGTCTAATCCTGCTAGCCACAATAACCTAATCCGGGCTCTTTGAATACAAATAATAATAAAAAATGTCTGACGACTAACAAAGAGTGTTATACAACTTGAATTTGTTACATATACTTCTTAACTATGCTGCTTGCACCTGACCAAATAAGTTTCTGATTAATCAATCAATCAATTAAAATAACTTAGGATTGATTCAAACAATTAATTCATATGAATTATGGCTTGTGAAAGATGAATGGGTGATAATGGAACAGTAGTTACATCAACTATTGAAATGTAATGTTGTGATTCTGTGTGTAAGTAAAATCAACAACTAAGTTTTTATTTATTAGAAAATTTCTCCCTTGTGAAAGAAGCTTCTTTTAAAACTACCACTTTTGTTTGCAATTGCATTTTAGTCACTAACAAGGCTACAAGATCGCGCCACTCATCCTACACTCATCCTTCACTCATATTTGGGTTAAAATACGCACATAGTGGCGTCCCCATCTTAACTAATTGATAATTGATTGATAATTGATAATCAACTACATTGTTAGTATATGCCATGTATCTACTAGTAACTGGTTCCCTTAAACAAATATCAGTAACTTTTCCGTTACATTTTGCCGTCAAGAATAATAAGCAATTTGATGCATGGTTGAAATATTTTAGAAATCATAAATAACCAAGTAAGAGTTTATAAATAGACTGCAAACTTTTTTTACTAAATACGGTATGTTTTTTTTTTTTTTATTAAGGAAATTGACAGGAAAGCAGGCTTACCTTTAAATAAGTCCATAGAGACACATAAAATATACAACACAAAAGTAGAAATTTTCGTACTGGAGAAAAAGATTGTTCTCTAGTGGTTAAAAAAGTGGTCAGTGTTGTTTATTTCTACTTTTGTGTTGTATATTTTATGTGTCTCTATGGACTTATTTAAAGGCAAGCCTGCTTTCCTGTCAATTTTCTTAATATTTCCTGGCAAATGCCATATCTTTTTATCAGATAGGGGGTAACCTTAAAATGTTTTTAGAACACATTTTTCTATTGTTTTTTTTTTTTATTTTAATGAATAAAAATAAAATTTATTATGGTTTAAGACCAAACTGTTTGATTTGTGGCACTGGTAAAATATGTCAGGAATGCCTTTTAATTCAAACTAATGAATTTTTAGCGAATCCAAGTAAAACTATTGAAAGTTTAGTGACCTTTTTATAAAATCAGCAGATATTCAGTAGCCCTATGGTAAAATCAGCAACTTTAGTCAAATCAGTGCATTTTCACTGACTTCCCTGACTGGTGAAACTCTTTAAGATTACGAACATTACTCACTCTTGTTGATGTTTCAGATCGTGTTTCTGCTGATGGCGTTCCTGGCACTCGCCTGGGCCATGCCATTGGACGACTCTGACCCCACCAACCCCTACGCGGGCGGCAACCCTCGGCCCGGACAGAACGACGAGATCTTCCACAAACTGCATTGGCTCCATCTACTCCACCACAAGCTGGGCTAGACTGTTTGGCGCTCTTGTAAATACTTAGACTTATGGTGTTAGTGTAAATAAGTAGTTTAAATAAAATGACGTTTTGTAGAAACACGGTTTGGTTCTTGAATCCCACAATTTCTTCTGCATAGGATTAGAAACAATACATAGCAAATTTCCTAGTCTTAATTTCTTTAAAAAAATATAGGAAAAATTAAAAGACCACCGCAAACTTTTGCAAATATATTTTATCATTTAATATAATTTAAAATTATGTAATAAAACTTCCATATCAATCAGTTGATATCACATTGCTTTCAGCACAGTTTCTGTACAACAAACTCATAACGTGTAATAATCTCACGGTACCTAAGTGTATTAATACAATTATACGAGTAACAGTGTTGAGGTGAGGAATGTCGAAGGTACAAACGATATGAGGTACTTTAAGCCTAGCATAGAAAATAAATACCTTAAAAATACACAACGTATTTACAAAATGGCAAATTGGAAAATAAACAGCTGCGACGAACCTCGACACTACGTGAGTAAAGATTCGCTGACTCACTACTGACTTTGGCGCAAAACCAAGTGCGCCGATAGTCTCAAGTGTTGATTGAGCAACTAGGCGATAACACAACCTTTCTAATTAAGAGACGGAGAGATTAAGTTGACTGAGTGTTATGTAACTACGAGAGTTGAGTCTGTTCTCCAACTTTGAGGGGTGAAGTCGCTACTTGTAGTTCTGGCGCGCAACACCAGGTGAGAGCCGAGGTTGTACGCGCCGGGTGCACCGACTGCGGCGGACATCTTGACACTACGACACCCGTGGGGCGGCAGGTCCACTATCCTCAGAGTGCCACCCACCCAGTGGAACGCATGACAAGAGTGAGGAGAGTACATGTACCCTTGGTTGCTGCAACAATCAATTGTAAATGTCAGCTTCTACATTCTGACCAGGCATCGGCATATTTTGTTTTCTGAATCCTCAAAACCAACAGTGTCAGTAACTTTTTCATTTTGAATAGGACACTGATTACAAAATCTTTTGCGGTTATAACAAAATCATGATCGTCTCCAGCGATATGGTCGTTATCTCTTGCAATTGTGACGACAACATTTTTTATCTGTTCCAATTTTGTAGACGTCTTCTGCAATCCCGCCCCTAACAATGGCTTAATTTTTTTTTTTTATTTGATGTGGATCTAAACAGTTCTGGAAGCATAGAAGCCCATATGGAAAGGGTGTGCTAACCAAAACACATGTTTAACGTCACTTCAAAATTTCAAAAAATGTTTCATTGAATTGCACTACACAATTTAACATTTTAGATAACATTTTGATGTTATGAACATGAGGTAGAATGGAGCCATAGATAAACATACTCCCTTAGTAGATTTCTCATCCTTATGGAACAGCTGAAGACAATTTTATTGTTAGTTCTGTACGGTTTATTTAGAGGTCGTGTTTTGTTTACAATTTGTTTCCCGTTATTACAGTCATTTAAAACCTCGTTCAACCAAATAATACGATCTAATCATAAACAATAACTTGTCCCCTTGTTATATAACCAAACAGTAAAGCACAAATCAAGAAATTAACCCTAAAATAATAGAAACAAAGTTTCGTCGACACTAGCGTCCATGTGTCACGTACATGAACTTACGCGTTTACAAAAAACGTGCTTCAAAATTTACAATGGGATGAGAAGTCTACTTGTGTTGGTTAGTCTATGGTGGAGCCTTACTCTGATATTTAAATTCATACCCAATTATTCACTTTAAGTGTTAACAATTATGTATCTTTGTACACTATTGTACAGCTTCTTGTAGTGGGACAGACCCTCAATAATTTGGCATGTTCGGGATATTGGCATTACTGTATTACCAAAAATGCTGCATTATAAAAGTTGTAATTGTGAAGATAACAGAAGTAACACTAAAATAGAGAGTAAAAAAGAGTGCTTATGGCATTTTGCCATATTATCAGGATTTAACCATAGACATTTTAAGGATTCGTTAACTTATACATCAGTAATCTATCAGTATGATTCATACTACTCACGTAACAGGAGCTCTTGTCGCCTGAACTTCTACGATGACATCACAGTTGGAGCAGTTTCGAACAAACAGATCTACTGGAATCAAGCACACTCTGCAACATAACACAGAATATTGACAAACAAGTACAACAATTGATGGATAAAGATAAATTTTAGCAAATAAGGATGGAAGTGTGTAAACATGAATGAAAATTGGGAAACAAGGATAAAACATTGGCAAATAAGAAGGAAAGATCAGAAAACATGACAAATGAGACAATAAACCTCAACTAACCAAAATAAAAAGGCGAGGCTATTTCGGAATTTTTGGAATTTCACACATTCGACTCCGATCAGAGTAATGTCGTACTGGCACAGTGTGCGTACGACTCTGGTCGGAGTCAAGGTGCAGTGTTACACAAGTTGGTCTACTGTAACCTCCACATTTATCGGGGATTAACCAGACTATGTCAGCATGTCGTGCTGGCCCTATATGCGTGCATTTCCGACTGCCCCGCCAATGGGAATCTCGCAGCGAACGTGTTAAGCCCATTTTGATTTTATGGAAATGGAATCTACAAAAGGCCTTTTCTATATTGCTTCAACTACATTCATCTTAAAATCTATCTTTGTTCAATAATTGGCAGTTGTTTTCTGTATTTGTTTTTTTTTTATCACGGTATTAGATCTTTGTTGTTGTCTGGTCTATTGCATTCCGTAGGCAAACGGACCAACAACCGTCGCCATAATGAACAATTCCCATTGCTTACCTTATTTTTTAAGTGATTTGAATTTTATTAATGGATTCAGTCAGTTTGGATTGCGGTTTCAATTAGTGCAGGGGTTTTACTGTAGTTTTAAAAGAAGGAAATATTTAAAAGTAAAATAGTTTACGAATAAGGTTGTAAATTGACAAACAAGCCTAGAAATTAACAGAAAAATGTCAACCGACCAGCAAGGGTGAAAATTTGTATGGATAAACTCTTTTAAAATCTCCATAGAAAATTGTATGACCAACAACATCTCACCTGTCAATAGAGAAGTCGTGTGGTGTGGCGGGGGCCTGGGGCACTAACGAGTATGTGACCAGTCTCTGCTTCACTGTGATATCATTGGCGGGGGTGAGGGGTGGAGGAACACTGGCGGGGGGAGGCGGAGGCCACCAGCTGCTCTCCCCAATCCCTCGTAGCGTGACGTGATGCTGGCCTACAGCACTACGGGCATCTCCTCCCCTCAGCTCCACTGTAGCCTAACACAGACACAAAGTCACATCAACCAAAAGGTATAAAATGTGGAGGTAATTGTTTTGTTCTGAAGTAAGAAAACCTTACCTATGTATTTTTTCTTGAAGAAGGAAAAATATAATTATTTACATGTATTTAAAATAATTTGGTGTCTACAGTGCAAAAAAGTCGGTACGCTACGGTTTTAGTAGTCTACTTTTAGTATAGTACAATGTTTTTCACGGTCTATAATTCCTGTTCAGTACAGCCTTCATTTGTGGTTTGTTCTTAAAATAAAAAGTTTCCAAGATATTGTCATATGATAGATGTGATTTTGTGACCTTTATCACATCATAAAGTAAATTTAATGTTGTCATTCCATTCCCAATGTCCTTATGTCTACTATAAATATTTAAAAATTGAAAACAATACTCATTATTTTTTATAGAATATGTTGGAATCAGTATAGTAACTGCCAATTTTGTCCAATAACTAAGGTACAACAATTTTATCTGTATCTCCCCAACCCACCAACCCATATGTTTTGGTGGAAAAATCATATCACTTCCTGACAGATTTCTTATAGGACTGTGACATTAATTGATCATTAGTTTATGTGGAATAGGATTCAGATTGTTTTATTATTGTTTTGTCTCTAACACTGCTTCAAGATCTTCTTTGAATTTTTTTTTCTTTGCTAAAAATCCACTAGGCTATATCAGATAAATTTGTAATCTGTAAAATGTCTCTTGTATCTTTTATCTAATAGTTCTTGTTATTATTTTGTTGTGACTTAAGTTTTGTTTTTCTAACGTATCGATTGACCATACACCTGTTCACCAGTGCCTTTGTAATGAAGAATGTGTTTATTCAATACAATACTTATGACTTATGGCTTTAAAAACTCGGTCCTTCACATTAAATGCTAATTTGAAAGAAAAACTGAGTTGATTTACCTTAATCAACTAAAAATACTTTAGTTTATAAATATTCAACCAGTTGTTGTTAATTTCATTGGACTATTTTATTTTCCATCCCGGCTACATTTTCAACCCCTACCAAAAATTAACAAAATATTTTACACACAAATACAACATACAGTAATCCATTCTTTTGAGGTTTACACTTTGAATTTCAAACAAACCTTCCAAAGAACAATGAACGTGGCTTGAAGGTCTACCGAGGACTCCACTGTTGGGCCGGCAGGGGGTTGGTGGTGGGGGAGGAACTCAGCGGCGGGGGACAGGGGGGTGTCCCCCACCAGAGGGAGTTTGGAGACTAGAGGATCATGGGTAACAGAGGATCTGCGGACAGCCTTTAGTAGAAAGTGAGAAACCTCTTGCGGTCCCAGTGACACAGCTGCAAGCATAATAAGAATTTTAATATTGTTAACGTTTTTCTGGATCTTGTGTATGCCAATAAAAGGTTAACTCGTTCACTGCTAAAGGAGATTAAAAAATCAAATTGTATTGCTAAAAAAACTTTATTGCTGTATAACATTCCTTTTTGTGTCTTTATTTAAATACAATATTATAAAACGATCGGAAGTGAATATGATGTCACAAAGTGACGTCATATTCATGGGTCAGTACTGACCCATCAAGAACAGAGTCAGAAAAAATGAAAATTTTTAACAAAGATGAAAAATATAAAAGATTTAAAATGTTAATATTATTGAAATAAAATAGTTTTAAAGTACATTGAAATTCCCCGCGTTCACAGTAAGGTAGGTCAGTACCGACCCAGCCGCCTCGGCAGGAGCGCGATGCGGGAACCAACTGAACAGTGAACAAAGCAAGTCACACACTACACGCTAACGCGGTACAGCTGAGTTTCACAACATCAAAAAGCTACCAACTTTTCTCAGAACCAAACGTCAGTGATCTAACTCTAAAATTGTCATGGATATACCATGTATAAAATTCATTCTCCATAGTGAACTCCCTAGCAACCTCTAGCTCTAGGCAAATGTCACATTCAATCAAACTTGTAAATGTTTTATAACTACTGTACGAAACTTGTTGAACATTTGACTATGAAGTTCCTACCTGTCGGATGGAAGCCCCGAAGGGTCAGTTGCCACTGTGCGCTGTACAGAGCAGCACACTCTACACACATGACCCACTTGACACTGTCGTTGGCCTAAAACAAACACAGGATACTGCGATGGGGAATTAATACAGGGTCTCATAAAAAGTATGCCACAATTTTGAACAGCCATTGCTTGGGGACTATAAAGATAATCAAACAATTTAAACGTCAAATCGAAAAGAAAAGAACGTTTTTTCATACTTTGATAAAATTTGGATTGTCATGAATCTCATATCAGCATAAAAATGGCAAAGTCTGTACACTTAAGGCGGGTTTAATCTGATGTCTTAACTGAATGTTTTAGGCATAAAGTCTCAATCTTTTACGAATAACGTTGTGGAAATTCGATTTAACTGAAGACTTCTTCAGACGATCAATTTTTTTGGGCTTTTGATTGTCGGATTTCTTTAAATTTTTCATAACTTGTTTTGGCCGGCCAGGTAAATAAATGTCCTTTCAAAATTACTTTCTGTGTCTGTTATACTTTATACTTATACTTTCTTATTAAATGGCGACCATAGGTATTTTAAGCCAAGTATGAATGGAGATGAGTGTAGGATGAGTGGCGTGTTCTTGTAGTCTTGTTAGTGACTAGGCCGACATTCCTTAGACACAGCTGTTAAATAATAACCCATACAGCTAATGGGAACTAAGGGACCTACAGTTTATAGTGGAATCTGAACCACATTTTTGCCTTGGTATATACAAATTGGTCTAATTATCAGGATAGTACTGCGGATAGTCGTAGTACTCACTTGTGCGGACGTTAATCCACACCAGGGAGTATCGCATCCACAGTGCATGCCTATAAATATCCACAATTTGAGACCTCCTAGTAGCTTGATTACAGGACGACGCCACCCGTCCCAGTCAACATATGAAGCAATTAGCACCATTGCAACCAGTATTTTTATTATCAATTACATGTTTACTTTTTGTTCTGAATTAATACAGCACAGTTTACTTTTTATTTTTCAAATATTTCACTCGAGTCATCTCAGTGTCAAAAAACTGATTAAATCAGCAACTAATCGCTTTATCATTGGGTGAATTTGAAATTGATTTAACAATCTATCATACTGTGCCTTCTATTTTGCCGTAAACATTATAGTGGAACCTGGCGTCAGACGAGTGAGTAAGTCACAACGGCAGCCAGCCCCGGCGGACCTGTTTTGCCCATGCCAACGTTAACCTTTCCTCCCTTGCTGTGCGGAAAATAAAACTTAGTTATCTTAAAAATAGTCCCCAAGCAATGAGTTTAAGACCCGGGCATTCTTTTTTGATGAATATTCAGGGTCCCCACACAAACTTGAAGATGAAATTCACGGTTTATGCACAATTTTAACTGTAACATTTTCATATATTTTTGGGACGTCTTAAGCAATAACTGCAGAATCGTGGGCAGTTTAAAAGCACATTGTAGTGAACTCCAACCAAACTAATCGAGTACTAAGGACAAAAGACACCGCAGAGATCTTGTTTGTACGATTCACAGTACAATTTATAAAAGTGAAATAATTAAGGAAATTGACAGGAAAGCAGGCTTACCTTTAAATAAGTCCATAGAGACACATAAAACATCACAAAATTTCTACTTTCTCCAATCTCCAGTGGTTGAAAAAGTGGTCAGTGACCACGAAAATTTCTACTTTTAATTTTGTGATGTTTTATGTGTCTCTATGGACTTATTTAAAGGTAAGCCTGCTTTCCTGTCAATTTCCTTAATAATTCCTGGCAAATGCCCTATCTTTTTATAAGATAAAAGTGAAATAAATTATTTATTCATAAATTAAATAATGACTCGGTGTAATACAAATTTAGTTGAATATTTAAAAGTTAGAATTTTAAACTAAAAATTCAAGGAACCATTAATTCTGTGTTTCGGGTTTAATGGGCATCCTTGGATATCCAATATAAATAAATCACAAAGAAGACTAAATCTAGAATTGTTACGACCATTTAAAATTTATAGGCTACCAGACTTTCAAGTATTTCAACACAATGTACCCCTAAATTGCTTGACCCAGACTCCCTCTTATTCAAAAACTTTCGGTTCATACTCCAGTGGTTCAGACAACCAATATATTTACAATATATTGCAATATTTGCATAGATATTTGCCCATAGACATATAAACAAAAAAGTCACAACTGGCTTGTCTGAAAACTTCAGTACAGAATATAATGTTTTCCATTTTTTAGTAAACTAGTATTTCATACATTATGTTTGGTTTAGAAACATATCTGTTCCTGTTTTCAACAATTTCTGAAGGTTAAGCCTTTTTATAGTTGGGGCAAGGATTCAGATTTGAGGTGTTAGTGAGAGGTAGTCAACTGTATCCATTGAGCCGAGTATGATGACACGAGCAATCACAAATCATGTCCACAGAAAAAAAAGAATTAAAATTGTCCGTAAACTAACCTGACTGGTGTTTTGGACCTGCAGTTTGAGGTTAAGAGACTCAGGTTGATCGGTTGCTACGGCAACGGCACTGCGAGTTGTCGTAACACATACTTGGAGAGAGTCATGCACTAGGATAGGCCAGCTGTGCCTTACCAGCCGATATCTGCAACATTGACATTCATGACATTCATTGACAACAGAGACATGCTGTGAGGTACGTAGAGTCTTGGTTATCTAACTTTCCTTTGGCTATAGTATGACGTTGTAGTGTTCCTTGTGCTAAGATGGGCTTTGTCCCATTCAGTTAAGCCTTTTAATCCTTAAAACCTTAGTCCATCTTACCTTATATCACTAATAATTCAATTTGAGTCTTCTAAGACTTAAAAAGCACAACAGTATAATATTTCCTCACTAGGTCTAAGCACAGGGAAGTAAGGTACAGAGCACGCTTATGGGACAACTGTGCGCTGTCAGCTCTAGTATGTTGTGCCCGAAATATACTTGTAACAAGCAAGGAAGAGCCCAAGCAGAAAGCACTGTGTGGAAGTTCTAATGGCAGAGGACCTTCCTTCACCGTGAACGTTGTAGTACATGAAGGCGCATGAGGGTTCCTGGATACCAGCGCCTAGGTTTTGTCCAAGGATGCTAGGCACGAGCCTGGGATTGTTTTTCACATTACTTCAGCCTACACCTAGGGGTTGCAGTGTTATCCCTTAGATAAAATCCATTTTGATTTGGCATGATTTGAACCCGAAACCTCAGGGACCGAAGTCCCCTGTTCTACCAGTAGACCAGCTCGCTCCCCCAGCGACTAAAAGTAGACATCACTTTAATGTACCACTGAATGTTTCCTGTGTACCTTACTTTTCTGTGGTCTAAGTAACAAAAAGGGAATATGGTATAAATTCAAACCCTCCTTATATTCAGGAGATGGCAGTAAAAGGCGGTCTAATCCAAAATAAACTTACTTCTTCAAACAAACAATTATTTTCTTTCCTAAGAAGTTTTTTTATCTAAATAGAATAGTTACGGTTCAGCTATAACAGCATATCAGGTGTCTTACAAAGGTTTTCCCTGGTTCTGAGCGCTCTCATAGTAGAAGAGAAGATCCACGGTGTAAGAGCCCTTGAGGTCGTGTGCCCTCACTCTCATGGGCACCTCCAGTGTTGCGCCTGGTACCAGAGGTGTGTCCAGCGGCACCTCCATCACCTCGGCACACCGGCGGCCCACTGCCACCACACCCGGCGTACCACACACTGCCAGCAGCTTGGTCACCGGCACACCTCCGCAGTTGTCTATCTTTACTGCCACTTCAGTCAACTCTCCTGACAACATGTCCTTCTGCAGTTTTTTGAAGCTAACCTGACAAACGGTGACTCATGTTATTACTCAGAATATTTAGTTCACATAAAAAATTTCAAGAAAAAATGTTTACAACCCCCCCCCCTTAAACATTGGATCATTGGCACAACAATAGTAAAAAAGAAAACCATAGTTTCCAAAATTTCAATAATAAAATACCGTCCATAAATAAATATAACATATATAATATAATATAAATATAACATAAATCTTCCAGTAACATAATATTATAAATATAACATAAATCTTCCGGTAACATAATATAACATCTTCCCAAATGTTCATAGTGTAAATGATGTTTTATGCTATGGAAAAGAAAACTTCTATCTTGATGCTTTGTAAATTACCTGATTGTAACACAATGGTGTTTAATTGACCTAAATTACCCTGATTGTCATACAGTAGTGTTGCATAACCTTAAATTAATTGTCCTGATTGTCGCACAACAGTATTGCATAAACCTAAAATTACCCTTATTGTCGACAATAGTGTTGCGTAAAGGTAAATTCACCCTGATTGCTGGAGCATGCTGGGAGATGTTGAGTCGCAACCGGTTATCTGCCGCGTAAGCCACTGCGCCGCTGTCCTTGGAGACTCGTTGTCTACGACCACGAGGCACCAACACCTGTCTTCCCTCCACCACCGCCTCCCCCTCTCCTCCCAGCTGGTACGCCACTCCCGTCACTCTCAGCTCCCCGACCTGCAGTGGCACTACCTGCAGGATTATCTGCAACACAACAAAACACTGAGGACTGGGCTGATAGCACTGCAGTTTAGTCTTAACTTTATCAGTACAAGTCCCTTTCTAATCAACGTTGGGCCTGAATAATCTTTCTGCCTACATTAAACCTTCCTTGTTCTAAAGTCTAGATCAAATATTTGAATGTGTTCGTAAACTGTTAGTTTTTGGTATTTTCTATGTCAATGATGAACACTCTTATATTGAGGTAAGCCTGATTTGAAAAACTTAATAGTCAAGAAAAAATTGTATTCTATTCTGGTAATCGTCTCCTGCGACCACAGCAATACCTGTGAGTATATCTTGGGGTGTAAGTGTATCTTGCGGTTTCGGCAACACTGGTAATCCTCTAACGCGATAGTGACAACACTGTGAGCAAATTTTGCGGTCTCGACGACAGCAGAGAACGTCTCCTGCACAGAGGTGACAATATCTCGCGACCGCGGCAACTCCAGTGACCAACATTTCGGTTAAACAACGTTATGAGTAACCGGGCTGCACATAATCGAAGCTCAACTGTATTTACTGTTTTATTTGGGATTCCCGGAGGGTTGGTTTGATTCCTGAGTTTCCCTGGGTATTTCAAGGTATTCAAGGTTTTCCCGGAATTTCTAGAGACCATGTTGTACGGTTGGAGGCAGCAAAGGGGGATGTTTCCACACTCTCGCTACATTGTGCAGTAGTACCACATTATTTGACCGTCATACATCATCTCGAGGGAGGGTCGGACAATCGGGACTCTCAAGTAATAATAATAATAATAATAAATTTTTATTGTCGTTTGGTAATATAAACATTACAATAGACAAGGTCAACATGTTTTGTTACATATGTTATATAAAATATTAAATATTCTACAGAAAATGTTAAAATAAAGTTAAAAGAATCGTAAAAGAATAAAGCATCAGTAATAATAAAAACTTTGAAATTAACAGGGAAAAGACCATAACAAGAACAAAGAATCATCAAGACTGCTTGGCCTCACATTTAAGCGTTGAAAAATCTACATTCTGCAAAAACTCATCAACTGAATAAAAAGCACGACTTGTAAGCCAATCTGATAATTTTGACCTATACAAATGAATACTTTCCTGATTTCTAAAATATATCGGAAGTTTATTAAATAGTTTTATTTGCAAATATTTATAACTTTTGATAAATTTTGATAGCCTGGCTTGAGGAATATATAAATCTTTTGATTGTCTGGTGATATACCCATGGATTGAGTTGCAAGGAACAAATTTATTCAGGTTCTCTTTAACGGAAACTAAATTGTAAAAAATGAAAATATTAGAGAGTGTCATGATTTTATTTTCAGCAAAAAATGCTTTGCAACTAACCCTATCCGGAATTTCAAACATAATTCTGAGAGCCTTCTTTTGCCATGTAAAGACCCGGTGAGCTCCTGAGCTATTACCCCACAGTATATTGCCATACAGCAAGTGTGAGTGAAATAAACTGTGGTAAACAATTAGAAGTGTTGGTTTAGAAACACAATTTTTAAGTTTTCTTATCAAACAACACAGTCTCTACCTTGCTTGATGTGTCCGGTTGCATGACAAGCCTCTCTATGACTCTTGTGGTAGCGACAGCAATGTTGCCAACTGCAGAGTTGTCCACACTGGCGCCACTGTCACATGGTGTGAAGCTCCACAGTAGCCTCATGTTCTGCAGAGTCACCGTGATGTGCAGCGGGTTGTTGAGACTCACACTTACACTGATTGCCTCTGAAATACAAAATAATACCATAACAGTATTACTAACTAGGGTAGTTAAAGTTATACTTTAAAGTAAAGAGGCTAATTATGACTTGTTTGAAAAGGGAAGAGTTCAGCCTGCTTACCCGAGAAAATGTCCAGAGTCCAGAGGCAAATAGATACACAATAAACAGTCATAAAACATAACACTGATATTTATTTCCTAATAAAGGACTTCTATTCAAGAGCAGCATCTTCAACCTACTCTGATGATGTTCCATATTGGGACGAAATATCAGTGAACAAACTCCTATACTAAGCGTAAAAACGCAAAAAAAAATATTTTTAATACTCTAACTTTCTCAGGTAAGATAAAATCTATTCTTTTAATAAATTTCTAAAGGTAATTTAACTGTTTTTGAACAATCTAAAGTCAACAATCAAAGTGTCACTTTGAAAATCTAAAATGACAATCATACTAGAAATTGTGAATACCCATAGTGACACCAACTCGACAAAAATACTGCTGATGATACCCTGACTTGCTAAAAATAGCATTAATGCCAGCAGCATTGATTACTAAACAAACACCTGTAAATTTGATAGAGGTGGTCACAACTTGATACACAAACAGAATCTAAAATGTAATTTTACTGTTGAGACTCTCTGAAATTAGACTCTAGACTAATTCCAAGGGAAGTTATAAATAGGTTGGGAACTGCTCTAAATTATAGTTAATGTGATATCTTGTATACAATATTACCTCCAGCATAAGACGTGGGAGGATTCACATTGTTTGTACTGTTGTTTAGCAACTCGACAGTCGGAGTGAAGATCATTGGTTGAGTTCTCAACGCAGCACTGACTAGCTGCTCTTCTAACTTGTTCCACCTGAAATAAACGGAGCATTGACGGCTATTTGAAATGACTTTCCATCCATTAGTTTATGACCTGTTGTACTTGCCAATGGCATGGTTTAATTATTGATTGTAGACATTGCGAGAGACTTCTCATCTTGTATAGTTTTAAGCCTGTGTTTTTGTATGTTTCATATTGTCTTGTGAAGTACTCTGAATTCAACCAAAATTTTGAGTAAATTTTACCACGTGCGCTTAATTTCTTGGTGTCTTACTCTGGTATTAACAAAAAAAAAAAACGATAGTTTATGAAAAGATAGTTTACTTTAGTTAAAATATAAGAATAGATTAAAAGTTGGTAATAAAAGTTATCACTATACAAATACAACATATTTTGTGGTATGGTAAAATAAGCAAGTTAAGTAGTCAGTATTGTATTGTAGATTGTAGGGTTTCTTTTCTTGGATAAGGAAAACTCCAGGGTCCAGAATTAATTGTGAACTCTATGATAAAACTTTATAGAGCGAGAACTGAATCTAATTCGCAACAACTGAACAAGAAAGTGAAATTTTAATCAAAAGGGCTGAAGTATGTAGAGCTGCATTTGTTATTTGTCACATATTGTTTTAGATGTTTCACATAGATTTATGAGAAATGTATCTAAATCAAAAGCAAAAAAATCATAGTAAAGCCGCGGTCACACTAGGCTGTTTAGCAGCCGCTACTAACCAGCCGCTGGCAATATCGCCAGCAGCCAGCTAGATCTGAAGGGTTCACATTATAGCCGCTAGTAAAGTTGCTGCTTATGTCTTGAAAGCATTATGTTGTGTATGTGTTTTCACCATATCATCTATTGACACCATTCTTCTTTGGTATTTTTTATAAACTTCATTTCGATACGTATTGCGTAAACTTTTTTATTTTTTTCTTCAATGGGGCCAATACTGCTTTAAGTCCTTGTTCTTCAAGTTTTTCCAGTAACAACTTGTAAGCTGAGCTTTGGCATTTCTGTTGATGTAGTCTGCAGTCGCAGGGTCCCACAGGCAAGGATAATTTTGAAATATATCTAGGAATGTAATTATGTATTTACCTGTCCACTTGTTGCTGTCAACTATATTCACTGTTGATCACAAAATAAATAGAAAATACAGTAAACGAAACCAACACTGCAAAACAAACTATACACGTGTTAATTAACCAGCCGCTTGTTAGATACTAGGGGTTCACATTGGCTGGCTGGTGCCAGTGAGGAGATCACGTGACTGCCAGCGGAGGGTAGGCAGCGCTCAAAAGTTAAACATGTTCAACTTCTGATTGTGGCTAGTAAACACTAGCGCGCTGGCATTCACCGGCCGCTGGTTCTGGGTCAGACTAGGCTGCTTGCTGGCAATATTCAGCAATATTACCAGCGGCTGGTTAGAAGCGGCTATTAAACAGCCTAGTGTGACCGCGGCTTAAATCATAGTAAAATCATAGTAAATCATAGTAGTAGTAGCGGCTGTTTAGCAGCCGCTACTAACCAGCCGCCCGTATATTGCCATCAAGCAGCCTAGTCTGACCCAGAGCTAGCGGCTGGTAAATGCCAGCGGGCTGTTGTTAACTAGCCGAAATCAAAAGTTGAACATGTTTAACTTTTTAAAGCTGCCTACCCTCTGCTGGCAGTCACATGACCTTTTCGCTGGTGCCAGCCAGCCAATGTGAACCCCTAGTAGCTCACAAGCGGCTGGTGAACTAACACGAGACTAGATTTTTTGTTTGTTTATGCAATGTTAGTTTCGTTGTACTGTATTTTATACTTCTTTTCGTGAATATTGAACATGGTTGCCACCAAAAAGTGGTCCGGAAATGACATTGTAACATTTCTAAATGTATTCCAAAATTATCCTTGCCTGAGGGATGCTTTGTCTGCCAACTACATTGACAGGAATACCATAGACGCAGCTTATAATGAGTCATATCAAAGTCAAAGAATTGAAGACTAAAATCAGTTTTGGTCTTATGAAGGAGAAAAAAGTCTACGTGATTCATATTTAAATAAAGTTTACAACGTAAAGAAGTCAAAGAAGAGTGGTGCAGGAACAGTAACGCCTACAAACTAGCGGCTATTTACTGGCGGCTAGTGGTTATAATGTAAACTCTATAGATCTGCTGGCTGCTGGTGATATTTACCATCAGCTGCTTAACAAACAGCCTAGTGTGACCGAGGCTTAAGCCAAGTGGGTAAGCTGCAATGTGTGTCATTCAAATTGTGCTACGGTACCTCTGAGTATCGGAAGGTTGGAGGTCGAAAGACACCCCTGAAGCGTAACACTCGAAGTTGTCCATCAGTTGGGGCTGAGGGGGTTTGCCCAGCAGGACCTGGATAGAGTCGTTGTCAACCACAGGCAACGGTAGGATCGGTAACTCACCCGTCTCACAGTTCAATTGCTGAAAAAGTAAAGAAAAAGAATGTCTTATTTTTGTAACCATAAAACATTAAAAAACATATATTAGGTTAGTTTCCATTCATATTTGTCCTATGTTTTCTTCCAAACTGTCAAGTTGGTTTATGAGTAAAGCATTTTATTCTCTTGATAAATTATTTAAATATTAATTTTCATTCAATCTTTCATAAGATTGGATTCAGTGATGCTTTGGTGAATAATTGTAGTTAATTTATTATTGTTTTCACAGTGAATGTTGATTTTTTACTTGATGTTATTTGTTATTTTATTCTGTTATATCTTTTAATCAATCAAGTAACTGGTACTCTTTCCTTTTCGACTGCATGTTACTGTATTTCTTAGGTTCTTTGACATTGTCTAAGCAATGAAATGTAGACAAGTGACAGTAAAGAGATTCTGATTCTGAATTTCCTCGACTCTCCTAGTACCTGTTGTGTATTGAGGTATTCCCGCAAGAAGGTTGCCTGCTGAGTCGCAGACTGTCTGCTCGCACGAGGTAACAGCTGAGCGAAGGCGTCGGCCGCTTCTGTCATCTGCTTCAACATTGTCGCCTGTCGTCCAATTGTGTGATGAATATGGTCTTCTGCCAGGCTCCAACTTTTGTTTACGTACACCTGCAATATTTCAACCTCAATAAATTCAAGTTTACCTACCTCACACTCGGGGTTGTCGAGTTTGGGGGTTGTCTAGTTTGGGGGTTATCTAGTTTGGAGGTTGTCAAGTTTTGGGGTTGTCAAGTTATCCAGAAAAATAAATTATTAGAAAATGAATAGGCCTACATAACAGACTATTTTTTACCTATAAATGTATTACTTACATGAGAATTTTTACATATTGAGTAAACAATCTCCAAATAAATGTCGAATATTCAACAATAAAACTAAATGTACTCAAAAAATTACTTTTTTGCATGCCCCTGTCAGCTGTTGACTGTCGAGTTACCGGGTGTCTAGTTGTAAAGAGAGTTTTACTGTACTATTATACATTTTAATTAGTACAATTACAGGGGGTTTATTTATGTGTGTTGTGTGTTGGGGCTCTCTTCCAACAGGAGATGGGTGTAAAATGGAACGCTGTAATTTACCTTTGCCATGTTCATTTGCTTGTTCAAACCAAGAAATATTTGGTTTCCTAATTTAGCGTTGTGATTTTTTTTTTAAGAGGTTGGCGGCTTCTTTTAACCTTGCATTTGCCCGTCCACATAGACTACAGATCTGTGCGTGGAACGTATCCAGCAAAGCAAGGGGTGAGCCGGTACAGTACAAAGGTGAACTGTACTGATAAAAGTTTGTGGCGGTGACCAGGATCCGAACCCACGACACTTCTGCCTTGGGCCCAAAGTCCGTGACGCTACCAACTGAGCCACCAACTCACCAAACTCACAACAACTAATCACAGTAAATAACGGAGGAAATATAATTTTATACTTTAGAAACTCTGCGAGTCATTCAACTATGTTCTATTTTTTTTTTTTTTTTTAATAGGGAACAGCGGGTCCATGTAGATGGGATGTCTACTTCAGTAAAGACGCGTTTACATGAGGCCAGCAGGCATTTCAGCTGACTGGCGCCAGTTGATACTCCAGTCCAGTGGAAAAAAGCCTATCCAGTGCACTGGCTTGAGGAGTAGATTCCGTGCCAGTCCAGTTCCCCCGCCACAAAAAATTGAGTGTGGCGTGACCCACTGGAAACGTGTGAACGACTCCAGCCATTCCAGTCCAGCCAGGTCGGCGTGAGAGTAGTGCAGGTTTCCATTTTCTTTTTTCCAACATATAGTCAACATTTTACAACATGTTGTCAAAAAAGTAGGGTGAAGTGTTAAATGTTAAGTTTATTGAAGCCTTCAAAGAAAAAGAGTGTTTGTGGAACTAGTAAACCCACTATATAAAAATAAATACGCCCGCAAAACGGCCCTCAAAAAACTTTCCGATAAATTGGAGTTGGATGATTTCGGTTTTTTGAAGTGAAAGCTAAAATAAAAGCACTTTGAAGTACCTACCTGCAACCTAGAAGTGAATAAACAGAAGAGAGTGAAAAGTCAGGTACCAGAATGGCAGATGTTTATGTTCCTACGTTTGCAATAAGGGAGGACACAGTTTGATAAAATTTGCTTTTTTAAATTTACAGTATTCTATAGTATTACACATCTACCATAGCCATAATGTTCTACCACTTCACCTAAACAATAGAGAAAAATAAATTATCAACAATTTGCAAAATATCCCAAATTATTCATGAAATGAAAAACAAAACATAAACATAACTGTAAACAATCCTACTTTGACAGTTCTCATTGCGAATCACAGTTTTTTTGTTGCTGCTTGGTTCGAATTAGCTGTTTTCAGTTTTCATAAATGCAAAGAAAATATAGTGCCGCACACTGTTGGTAAATCCAATAACTTTTTAATGCTTTTCCATATCATAGAACCAACTTTTTAGTTGAAACAGCGGACTAAATTCTTTAATTCCCTTTAAATATAAATACTCATAAGGTTAACATGGGGAATTACAGAGCCACTGGGGCGGAGCCTGAAAGGATTTTTGAGGTAAGAATATGCCTATATGTTAATCGGGAATGTAAGCTATCATCATGCCAAATTTCAGCCCAATCCGTCCAGTGGTTTATGCGTGATTGAACTTCAAACACACAAACAAACAAGCAAACAAACAAACACACAAACTTTCACATTTTTTATAATATTAGTAAGATTTTAAATGTATGACCAGATTATGACCTATAATTGAACACCTTTTCATCAAACGTTAGGTTCGGTCCACCAAAAGGTTTCATCAGGTATTCTTTCAAAGGGAAATCATCATCGGCACTACTATGACATCTTCTTGCAGCACCTTACTAGATTCCCACACAAATTCTCGAAACAGATCTCGAAAAATATTTAACGTGGGTAAGGCTTGAAGATGCACTCTTCTCTATGTCCTAGTTCAACTGGCGACAGTCAATTGGCTACGTCTAAACGGGTAGTTAGCTGGCTTCCAGTTCACACACTCAACTGGCGCCAGTCAGGTGGACTGCCTGCTGGCCTCGTGTAAACACGGCTTAAAAGTCAATGCTAAAAGTGCCTAAACTCTAATTTTCTCATTAACTATCACGGTAACAAATACTAAGGAAGGAAATAGAATTTCAGACTGAACAAACTCTGGGAGTGGCTCATTCATTAAAATAGGCTACAGCCGGTACATATGGGTTGGATACTTCAGTATCCAAAAGTCAAATCTTACTTGGTACGCCTGCCTGTAGCACCGCAGTGAGTGCCGCTTCTGTCCCGCCTTGGAGAACCGATGCCCCGCCAGCACCAGATGGAAGGCGTACTTGCGAGGCATGGGAGGGCGAGGACTGGCCAAGAAGCAGTAGGCCGCCTGCTCCAGCAGCAAAGCACTGCGCAGGTCAGAGTCTTCACTAGTCATGCGGATCAGCTGTTTGGCTGCCTCGCCCCACATACCTCGGCCCCGCAGACACTCTGAGGCGAACAGTGTCGCCCTGGTGGCAAACTGGGGCATCCTGTACAATACATCATATACTTGCTACATCACAATGTTAATTTGGCTGACCCTGCAGTATAAGCTAGCTGTTTAATTTAATTTAGTTCATGTAGGCCTATAAATGTTTGAATATTTAACAGTTGGTATTCTCAAAAACTAGGCCAGTGTGCCAGTTTGGTATGGAAACTGAAAAAATGTTTATATATTGACACAGTCCAATTTTGCTCATCCTGTTTACAAATGGCATCTTGGTTCTGGAATTAGTTATAGTACTGACTGCTTTTGTTCAAGTTAAACAATTTAAATTAATGTTGTTCAAAGGTTTATTGCGGACATTTTCCATCACGATGGTAGAAAACAATACACAACGTTTCGGGATCTGGAATCTGATCCCGACAAATTTTTTACAACAAACCTGCAAGAATTGAGGTAAGTCATGATACTCTCTTCTGCGTATTCAAAAGCCTTCCGAGTTGGGTCGGCCGGCTGCATGAACAGCGACAAGGCCGCCATCTCCAGCGCGCCGGCGTAGTGTAACCAAGCAGCATCACCGTTAAAGTCTCGCTTGGCTGCATGGTACGCACTGAAGGCTAGAGAGTACGCACCGAACATGAAACACAAGTCTCCCAGCCTCCGCAGCTGTAGCTCTGTGGAGTCATTTGTGTACCTGAAACATGGGAAACAATGCGGTGTGAACAAAAAGTCAAGAATTTTACTTAAAATATGTAGAAAAACTTCTGAAACGGTGCATACGTTTCAGCGCTACATATTTGCAAAACTTTCCTTTAGGGGTGTGCGAATATTAATTTTCAATCTCGAGCCGAGCTTTTTTAATAATTTTTGAGCTCGAGCTTTTTTGAGCCGAGCTTTTCCTAGAGTCACGTTATCTAAATTATTAAGCCTTAAAAAAAAAGTGCATTATAATACCGTTCAGTCAATTTTTAAATAAACACAATGTTGTTTTAATATGTTAAAGAACTTAAGACATCAAATAGTAGATAATCACGATAAGAACTGAACTGAACTAAGGATATCGATCGAAGGCCTGACGAGATAAAAAAAGAGTGGTTAGAATCATGCTTAAGCTGCAGCGTGATAAGTCAGCTAAAGAACATTTTAAGGACCTAAAAATCTTTACCGTTTACGGGCAGTATATATATGAATCAATAATAATTACAAAAATACAAGACATATTCGGAACCAAAAGAAAAATCCTATTCTTATAATTTAAGAAATAAGAACGAAAATGTACAACCAACCACACAGGACTAAATTTTTTTAAAAGAAACCATCTTATGCAGGTAATAGATTTTGAAAATGTATTAAAAATAAAATAATATTAAAAAATAAACAGATCCAAACAAATTTAAAAAAATATTGAAAGAGTTTTTAATAAATTTAGCAATTTATTCTTTTGAAGATTTTTCTACCTCCCTCAGTCGCTATGATAGATGAAATTATCTTACTAGATTTGTAATATGTATTTGTTGTTTTTATAACCATTCCTCATGTTTTGCTGTGTTTATCCTATTGAATTATTTTGAAACTATTTATTGTACAGTGTACATAAAAACGAATAAAGATATTTGAATTGAATTGAATTGATACGCAGCGAGACTTGAGAGACTGAGACCATCACATTGTCTTTCATAACAGAACAGCGCAGTGTTTGATATGGGTCGTTGCTATAACTACAGTCGGTTGCTATGGAAATGAAACTCTTACTCTTACTCTCAGGGCCATGCATATCTAAGGAGATATTTGGCCGCACCAACAAAGCCTCTCCATCTTGCTCTATCCTCTGCATCCTCCTCAGTTGCTCCTAGTTGCTCCATGTCTTTCCTTACTTGGCTCCACCATTTGTGTTTTGGCCTTCCTCTCGGTCGTCTTCCTTCGGGATTTCTTAGTAAAACTAATTTTAACTTATTTTGCTCCTCTTTTCGTAAAACATGTCCAGCCCATCTAACTCTTCTACACTTAAATTCACATACCACATCTGGATCTCTGTAGAGTTCTCTCAGTTCTCTGTTGTGTCTCTTCCTCCATTCACCACCTTCATAAATTGGTCCATAGATTTTTCTTAAAATCCTATTTCGAATGTGATTAACTTCTTTTCTTCTTTTTTATTTGGTTTCCATGTTTCAGCTCCGTATAATAATACTAGGCTGATTATTGTCTTATAAATTCTAACTTTGGTGTTTTTTGACAGTAACTTAGAGGACATCAGTCTGTTGCAAGCGTAGAAACATCTGTTTGCCAGATTTAGTCTATTTTGGATTTCTATTTATTCTTTGTTTTCCCTGGATAAGATAACCCCTAAGTACTTAAAATGTTCTACTTTTTCAAATTTATGGTCATCTACCTGCAGTGGGTCTTGGGCTATACCTTGATTTCTTAAAAATTGCATATATTTGGTTTTCCCATCATTTACTTTTAGTCCTAATTGTCCTGTTTTGTCCATAAATACTTTTGTTAGTTGGCGTAGGTCCTCTAAAGATTCTGCAAAAATGACGACATCGTCTGCAAACGCTAATATGTTAATTCTGGAGCCAATTGAAATTCCCTTATCTATTGTTGCCACTTCTTGTAGAGCTTCTTCTATTGCTAGGTTGAAGAGGATTGGGGAGAGACCATCCCCTTGCCTTACCCCTGCATTTACTGTAAAGGGCTCCGAGACTCTCCCATTTACTTTTACTGAAAATGTGGAATTTGCTACAGTTGTTCTAGCAAGGTTTATAAGTTTGGTTGGGATTCCAAATTTGTCCATCTTTTTCCACAGTTTCTCTCTATTTATGCTATCATACGCTTTTTGGAAATCAATAAATATTGCAAAAAACTCCCTATTAAACTCCCAATACTTCGATATGACTTCTTTAAGGATAAATATTTGATTCATTGTGGACCTGCCTTTCATGAAACCAGCCTGATGATCTAGGATTAGTTCATTTGTATATTCTTCGATCCGATTTAATACTATCTTTGATAAAACTTTGTACGGTATGCTAAGGAGTGATATGCCTCTAAAATTACTACATTCTTCTTTCTCTCCTTTCTTGTGAATGGGGACTACTATTGCTTCCCTCCATTCTTCTGGAATTTCTTCTCTCTCCCAGATTATTTTAATCAGTTCCCAAAGCTTTCCTATTACTACTCCCCCTCCCTTCTTCAGTATTTCTGCTGTTATCCCATCTCTGCCTGGGGCTTTATTGCTCATTAGAGCTTTGACTGCTGCTTCGACTTCTTCTCTGGTTGGTGCCTCAACCTTTGGTTGAACGTGATAGTATACGTCATAGTTATCTTCTTCTGGTGCAAAGTCCACACCATCTACATTTAGTAAGTCACAGAAATATTCTCTCCATCTTTCTATAACTTGTTGGGTTTCTGTAACAACAATGCCTTCTTTATGTTTCACTCCATAAGGGTTTGGAGTGTAACCTTTTTTAAAAAACCTTACTTTTATGTAAAAATCTCGTGCATTATTTGCTGTGCACTCTTCTTCTGCTTTTTCAATCAGACTATTTTTTATGTACCTTCTTTTCTTCTGTCTCAATATTCTGTTTGTTTCTCTACTTATTTCATTGTATTGTTGTTTATCTTCCGTGGACTGACTGCACAACCATGCCCTTTTCTTCTCCTTTCGCTCTATTACCTTTGTTTCACATTCCTCATCAAACCAGGGTTTTTTGTTGGTTCTTTTCTTTTTCCCACACACTTCTTTCGCTGTTTTTATTATGCTTTCCTTAAACACACTCCAGTTTTTATTTACATCCTCTTCTACTTGGAGGTTTTGTAAAGCTTGGAATCTGTTTTCTAGTTTCAGCTTGAATTCTCTTGTTACCTGTTTGTCTTCTAACTTTTCTGTGTCAATATGTAAATTATAGATTTCTTCCTTTCTTTTATGTATTGCGATTCTTTGGGCTACCTTAACTAACATTAAAGAGTGGTCTGTTCCGCATTCTGCTCCTCTTATACTTTTTATATCTGTTATGCTGCTTTTGTGACGTTGGTATACTAGGACATGGTCTATTTGATTTATAGTGGTTCCATTAGGGGATGTCCATGTGTACTTGTGTATATCTTTCCTAGGGAACATAGTACTCGCTATTTTGAAATTGTTGGCAAGGGCAAAACTTGCAAGTCTAGACCCATTATCGTTTGAGTTTACATGAAGGCTCTCTTTCCCTATAGCTGGTTTCCATATGTCCTCTCTGCCTACTTTTGCATTGGCATCACCCAGAACGATTTTCATGTCATACCTTGGTAACTTTTCCACCTGTTCTTCCAGACGTTCATAGAAACCATCTTTATCATCATCTTCTGCTTCTTCTGTGGGTGCATAGAAGCTGACTAGAGATATATTTTTAAACTTTCCTCTTAACCTAATATTGCACATTCTGTTATCTTTGGCTTCAAAATGTATCACAGACTCAGCAATTTTCTTATTTACAGCAAAACCTACTCCTCCATAATAAATGTTATCTTCACCACCACTATAGTAAATAAGGTAATTCTTCGTATTAATCCTTCCTGCTAAGGACCACCGCGTCTCTTGCAACGCTACAACGTCCAAATTATATTTTTCTAACTCCTGCGCTAGAATATCACTAGCTCCAGGTATTGCTAGGCTTCTTATGTTCCATGTACCAAAACGCAATAATTGAGGGCATTTCCGAGTCATTTTCCCTTTATTCCGTCCAGTTTCCGAGGCTTTTTGTTGGTGATACGTAACAGATGTGTTTTGCAGGGCGGGTTGTCAGCCCAGCGCCCAACCCCCACCCTGGAGGACCAGGGGTTTAACCCTCCGAGTGTCACGCGTCATAAAAACGACGCACAACACACTTTGTGTAGGGTCACGCGTCGCTTTTAAGACGCACAAACATCGTTTACGGCGAAGGCTCTATGACTGACTGAATCGGATTGAACTGGATCGAGTTAGGTATCGTTCTTTCCGTAATATTCTAAGCTTTCTGCAGAGGTCTGTCTCTAAGCGCTATTCATTTTAGTTCCGAAAATATTGTAGCAGACAGCTGACGTGCGTGTATTTGTAAACAGCTAGGTTCCCCCGGACCGATGACTGATGTGTTTTATTACGTTTATCATTGTTTTAGTGTTAAAAATCAAAAGTAGTGATATACGTGATGCATTATAAGAAGATTTAAGTGGTTTTGAAGTGCTGGTTGATGATCCTGAAGAAGTAGGTAGTGATATTGATGTAAATTATCAGCCAGATTCCTGGCTATGGTTAGGCTATGCATTCTTAGCTAAACGCTATGTACTGAAATCCGTTTTTCGCTCATAACTTATTTATTTGATAACTTACCTCGCTATATGATTATATATTTGTAATCCTCATTAAATTTAGAACAAAGTGGCTATTTTCAAATATTTATAGGCCTATAATTTATACAATTTCATTGAGCGCGAACTTATTTTTTTTTTGAAAATTTTCGAAATTATATTTTTTTTACCTAAAAATTTTTTTTTTGAAAAAATGTTCCTTATGTTTTATATATAATATTGAAGCCCATGATTTTTTAAACAAAATGGTATATAGAACATTAGAATTAACATTGTTTTAAGCTTCTCAGATCCGTTTTAATAAAACCTTGCAAAGGGGCCAAAAATAGGTGGACATTAAGGCCTAAACTATGGACACTCAGAGGGTTAATTTTGGAGTCACCTTCTCCTAGGTTCGTGGCTTCCACTGCAGTAATATGGAAATGAAAACCTATATTATATTGTGCACTGGACACTGTGCCATGTGTGGCCGGGGAGAAAGGAAGAGAGAACTAAAAACAACAACATGATAAAAATAACATGATAAAACTCACGTAACATTTGTGGTCGGGGTGTTAGGCATTCCAGGTTTACTTCCGAACCACCTCTTAGTGGCACTCAGGAATGATCTGCTCATTCCTTTTTTGTTTGATATCTGTAAAATGTACAAATAACTTTTAAATAAAGTCTTCAAGGAAAAAGCTTAAACATGAGAATCTTATCATACAATGCTCCAAATCACAACAAATCTGAAGATTGCATATTTTCACTCTTCTAATTTAACTTGAATTCCTAGATAATAGATTACTGAAAATACCATACAAGTCATGATGACATTGTGATAAATAAACACCACACTCATCCCTGGCTTAAAATATTCACCATGGTGCTTTGGCATAGTATAATTCAAATCTAATCTGTAAGTACTAATTTGAGTTAATGTAATCATTACCAAATCAGTCAGCTGTGATATCTGACTCTCCACATGAGGCACCAAGCAGCTGACACAGAAACAGCTGATGAACTCCCTGAGTCTGTCCAAGTCGTCTGCCGTAAGACAGCCGCCGTGGACACCAGCAGTCACAGGCCAGTTGTGGTTAGTCACACCGTCCACCACACTCTGCTAAGTAACAAGTTTCAGGTTTGTATGACAAGTAGTTTTTTATGTCCTTTCACATCCTTGGACACTACGCTCTAGCCAAGGCCCCACTAGAAAAACAGGCCATGCTGTAGCGTGGGCAGCACAACACTACGTCACAGGGTGGATAGTTGTACTTAAGTTGCCAGACGTAAACCGCCAGCATATTTACCCATATGGGACATGGCAGTGAATCTATCCACAAGTGTGACGTCATGGATCCTGCAGCATGGCCTGTAATTCTAGTGGGCCTTGCTATAGCCCAGAACTGTTTAACACATTACTTCTGACTAGGCCTAGAGGGTTTGCCATTATCACATATATACATACATTGGTGATTGGAAGGATTTGAACCCAGGACCTTGGGGTCCAAAGACAATGATCTACAATTAGACCAGATTGCACCACTGTGTGACGGCTGTCTCATCACTTTGTCCGAATAGTTGACGGAATGGAAATAAATTACACTTGTGGATTATAATACTACCCTACCTTGCTTGCGTCCAAGTGCTGTATTGACCATGCAATAACAGCGCTAACAAAATTTTTACTCTTTAAAAGAAAACGCTGATAAATCAAACTACATAAGTCTTAGAAGTCTATCAACAATTTTTGTCTGTACAAACTTATTACCAAGATAGATTCTTGTGTGAAGTTTTTCTTATTGTGATTAATCATTAACATTTCTACTTCAACCTGACTTGTGTTACGGTGAATTCACAAGCATATAAATTGTGTATGGTGCTTTGTGTAGTAAGTTACTGTCTATAACGTAGAAAAATGAAGGGGTGTGAGTGGCCATGTTGTGTCTACTCATGTGGTGTCTATACATACCCAGAATTTCAAAACTAGCAATTTTAAAGTAAAAAAAACGTCAAGAGATGCTACAGTAATATAAAATTTTAGTTTTTACTTTGATACCTAACAAAGATATTTGTTTAGGCACCATTTACTTAAAGTGGTTTAAATACCTGGATTTAATTAATTAAATTCATTGCTTTATGTCGAATTATGTCGAGTCATCTTCAGGCGTACAAGGTATAAAGTTGTTACTTCATTTAAAGGTAGTTTTTTTTTTAATGGTAAAACACTTGGCACGGACATTGAATGGACACTAACGTTTAACATTAAAAAAAAAACACTAAAATTTACTGAGACGGTGAGCGACATGTGAAGGCCGGATGTGAAGTCTAGACAGCGTTTCCACTGAGTTGAAACCGGTTGCAACATAATGCAACAAATTGGATTAATTAAATTAAGGTGTTTAAACCACTTTAATTACTATCCAGAAATCCGGAGGCTAACATCCATCAATCAATATGCATCATTGTTCTAGATGTGCTCTAGTGTTCTAGATGAAAAATAAATTGCTGACTAGGCTAGATGAAAAAAAACAGAGTAAAAAAATTCACATTCAAAGTTAAACACTAGTGAATTAAAATATTGATTCATAGATCTGCACAAGCCAAAGCTATCCAGCCATTGAAAGCAAGAACCAAGTGATTAAAAATTAAAAATGCAGAAAATAGCTTAATTAATTTAATAAGTGCACAAGTGTGATTATTTGCATAAAAGGTGCATTTTAACCAATAACATTCAAAATAGCATCAGGGCCGTCCCTAGGGTTGGCGGCGCCCCCTCACCCACGGCGCCCGGGGCAGCTTGCCGCCAAAAAAAAAAAAGTAGGGACCACGAAAGTTTGCAGTTGAGGGAGGAGCCTATTTACCACCTGACTTTGAAGGAGCCAAATTGCGGTGTTGCCAAATCTAATAATACCAGCTGATTTGACATTGTTTAGTTATTTAGTAAGTGTCGTCAACAGGCGATATGGCGACGTCCCACTAGCCTTGTCTTGTGATTGGCTACCGCCAACTGCAAACTTTCATGGTCCCGACTGTAAATCAAGATATTAGAGTGTCTAGTTAACTAGAAAACCAGTTAAACTGAGAACGCTATATGAATTTTGATTCTAAAGTCAGTTCCCAAGTAGGCCTACCAGTACATTTACCAAGAACTGGTGGTACCGAGGACCAATTTAATCGCCAAATCACTATTTTCAACAATATTATTTAAATAATCGAATCTCTTGGATTTTCCTTCCATCATAAAACACTGACCTTATCGTGGATGCTGTTGTGCAGCTGGTCTGACACCGGACTTAGGGGATGCATGATGACAGGAGTAGAGGGAGAAGTTTCCCCCGCCTCCTGAGCTGCCTCTACGGTGGTCAAACCTTCCAAGTTGTTCCGCATCACCTCATCGGCTTCATTGGTGTCCTTCAACATCACATGTATAGACCATGTCAATTGGAATGTGTAGAGTCATGAGGGAAAAGCTCCTGAGTTTACCTGTCTCACCCGTTGATTCTCATAAGATTCACTTTGTCGCAGCCCCCACACAACTTGGATCTCCAGGAGTCGTACCCTTGCACATCGGTGTGAAACCAGATTATCAGTGTCCACTCCAAGTGAGAGCTGAACACTGACACCGAGAGTAACACCACTAGACCTTACTCCGTCCACAAGCGACTGTAATGGAAGGGTTCTACTGCATGTGAATCTCTCATGCCACTCTAATTAACACGATCGATACACAAACAATAGGTGGGTCAGCTACAAATTGTTTAGCACTCAACCCAAGGCACTATTTGTTATTTTTTAATTTTTTCTCTTATAAAATTTTGTTTCACAAGGCTCGAGGAAGACAGTGAAATGATTTGTGGCTTATCTTCATATTGCAAGATTATTTTATTCCTAATGATTTTCAAAGAGATATTTCCAAATAAATATTAACTGGTTTCTGATGTGCTACACAAATATTCTTTAGGGAAGGAACAATACAAAAATTGAGAGAAAATATTATAGAAATCAAGCACTCGGGAAATTGATTATGAGCAGTGGTTTTGTTTCAGTGATTGAAACAACATTTCTGAATCAATTTGAGCTCAAATTCATAACAGTAAATAGCAGAGCGCAAGCATAGACAAAAAGAATTAAATAATAGACCGTCAGCTGTGCTGCGGTTACCATAGGTTCTGGCGCACACCGCTTGGAGCGCCATGAAGTTACGGCGTACACGCTACATAAACTACAGCGGTGTGCGCCGGAACCTATGGTAACTATGGTAACCGCAGCATGGCTGACAGTCTATATTTTATTCTTTTTGTCTATGGCACAAGGTATCAGAGATAGGGTTCAATTGCATAGCCAATGGGATCCCAGATTGAATTTCACAACATTTATTTGCAGCTTATAGATCTTTGACTCGCAATTTGTACACTTTTCAAGAGAAAAGGGCAACCAGGTCCAGGTTAAAAAATGTTCAAAATACCTCAAAAACTCAACTCAAATACCTTAACTTCTGACAACTTTGCACCATTATGAGCCAACTAAAACGCTTATTTTACTTTTTCATCAAGAGCAACATCTTCTCTTAAGTGCTAAATTACATCCTTTTTTGGGGGGGTTTTTCCAATTTATTACAAGATTATGTCTCCCTCTAATTGTTTGTGTATTCTTTTCTTTACTCACCTTGCTGACCCAAACGGACATCCTTTTTTCGTTGATCCTGGACTACTTATTAATAGTTTACTATTTGTTGAGAGAGTTAATTCTTTTTGTTACAAAGATGAATTTCACACTTAGTAAACATACCTAATACAATAGTTGTTGGCTAATACAAAACCTACAAAATACTTAAATTTTAACAAAAGCAGTAATTTAATTAAATACTAGCGAGGCAGTTTATCAGTAATCAAATAGCTTAGAATGGTTATATGAGAATATGCAAGATCCTTATAGAACAAAGCAGAGCTTGATGGTTCGGCAGATTCAAAACAATTGTACTCAGGCAGATCCAAAATCTTGAATTGGCTTGCATTTTCATAACTTGCACACGCTGCCAAACAAGAATATTTCAAACAACAAAGATCAGCAAAGACCAAAAGCTGAAGCAGATGATGAAGTAGATCATGCCATGAAAGATGTGTGCTCAACTCAGACAACAGTATTTAGAGATATTGCTGTTATTTTTGTATAGGCCTATTGATAAAATATAGATAAACAACCGAATAAACTAATTAAAGTGGTCCATCAAAGGCCATAAAATTATAATTTTAAGGCCTTTAGTTATAATTTTCACCAAACTACACAGTAATCAACTGATTTTGGTCTCTTTGTAGCCCTGAAATTTGTTGGATTGGTATAATAAACTGGAGTCCAGTTTAAGTTAGGCCTATTAAAGTGTTTTGTTTGTGTGTACAAGTTGTGTTTTACTCAACCTGTAGGCTACATTTGTTGCTGGTAGTGTGGTGAAAAATAGCATGCGCAGGTCACCCGCAAAAATGTTTACAGTACTCGCATGAAATCAGGTGCTCGGCAAGCCTCGCACAGTACAAACATGCTCGAATAGTAAACACCTTTTACCTGGCCTTGTAGCGTATAGTAAAACATTTTCCTGGATGGCAAGATCTACTTGTATTTGTTCCTGATAGTTACCTGAGAATGATATCTCCTGGTGATGAACTGACTCCACGGGTCTGGCAATTGAGTGTCTGAGGTCGGCGCCGCCTGGGAGTTGATGTTCAGGAAGAAACTGTTGTTCACTCCGTACGTAGTCTTCATCGTCTCGTACAGGCTTTCAGCTCTGAAATTGAAGGTTGACTTAACTAAACAGGGTTGTGAAAAAATTGGTTTTCTTCCACTACATGGGAATTATCCCATTTCCACACCTGTAAACAGTACGCAAAATAGCTCATTCCCACTTGCTAAATCAGTTGATATCACTGTTGGCGTTTCTACGCCTATATATAATCCTATCCATAATAGGAAAAATCTATTAACACGTTCGCTGCTGAGCGCTAGAGGCTGGGACGGCGCCAGGAGCTGAACTAGCGCTCGCCGTTGCGTAACATTGCAGCTGATACACTGAATTGCACTAAAAACAACAGTACATTTATACTGGATAGCAATGATCTGCAATAAAAGTGGCTTTGGACATAGTACCAAGCGATTCTGATAGATAGCAGCACTACCCAGGTTGCAGTTGGTAAAGTAGTGTCGCTATCTAGCAGGAAAGAGGTGGGACAAAGCCCTGTTGTATACGACTCTGGTAGTGATTTTGGGAAACTATATTTTTTATTGTCAGAAAAGTACGTCTCCACGAGCTGCAAAGAAATATAGGACGCTCGTGACGAGCTGGCTGATCCATGGAAACATTAAACAACAATGAACGGCAAGGTTCCGGAACGTTCCTAGCTCCTGGCGCCGTGGCCCGTCTGACGTTCCGGAACGTCCGTAGCAGCGAACGTGTTAAATGTGAAAGTATTTTATGCCAATAGATTGAAAAAAATTATGTCCTAACTGAATAGGCTATGCTTTTAAAAGTATCTATAGGCCTATATTAATAGGCCTGCATGTTTCTTCAAAACCTTTTTTCTCAGCTCGTGTACATTGCAGGGAAAATCTACGCATATTGTTAGAAGGATATTTTCCTGTAGATGTGCAGAAAAATTAACATGGGCCTTATGAGTTGCCATGCTGGTGACGAAATAACAACGAAATATAAACATAAAATCAAAACAAATGGAAGGAATTCCAATCACATGTTTTTTATTTAAAGTGTGAGTGAAAATAGAAAGGTCTGTCCATTGCCTATTTTTGGTTGAGTTTTCGACCACTGAATGACCTCTAGTTGGTATTTATTCATGTTAAAATGTTATACCACCTAGGACCTTAAAATCATCATAATGTTTTTTGTATTTTGATAAAGGTGTGACTCATACCACTAATCAGTTCACGGACGTCTTCCTACATCTTAGAACATTCACTTTGAAATAATTATTGTTCCTGTCTGATGTCAAAACTTACAGTGGAGTGTTGCCATCCATGTTGTCATGTAGAAGTACGTGGTAACGCAGCACACCCCCGCTCCCCCCGCCTGGACTGAACCACTTGGGAAGCTTGGCAGGGGACACTGTCTGCATTTGCTGCAGCTGAGCAGATATATGCTGCAGACGATCCATGGGAGACTGCTCAGCTGACGAGACTACCAAGATACCTGCCGTTAGTTCAGGAAAACAACCACTCAGAGATACAAATAACTGTAAAACGCCAAAATAAAGGGTACCTAGCTATTAAATATTTCATGATGGTTGGCCTCTGGATCGTTAAAATTAGCACTAATAAGGTTTAAATTACCTGGCTTCTGTCATCGATCTTCGGTAGTTTTATGAAACTACAGCTGTTTCATGCCTATCACTGGCACATCTTCAGGTTTGTTGAACGCCAGCTTCTTTATAAAACATCCCTCGGTGTTGAGTTCGTCATGGTTACACAAAAAACATGTAGACATTTACACACACGAAAACACGCACGAAACATTTAAACATTAATTAAAGAACGACTGCGAAACGTGATGCGGCGCCGGTGATGGATAAGTCGCGAGTTATCCATCACCGGCGCCGCATCACGTTTCGCAGTCGTTCTTTAATTAATGTTTAAATGTTTCGTGCGTGTTTTCGTGTGTGTAAATGTCTACATGTTTTTTGTGTAACCATGACGAACTCAACACCGAGGGATGTTTTGTAAAGAAGCTGGCGTTCAACAAACCTGAAGATGTGCCAGTGATAGGCATGAAACAGCTGTAGTTTCATAAAACTACCGAAGATCGATGACAGAAGCCAGGTAATTTAAACCTTATTAGTATTAAATATTTGTATGTTTTAGGCTTACTAGATTACAAACTATTCTATAAATTCTTTTGTGGACATTTACAAAGCAGAAACTCAAACAAATTCTGGCTCTGCATTTAAAGTAGAATCACAATTTAAAGGATACAGGCTAGGTAATGTTTGGTGAACTCGTGATCTGAAGGGAACTGCACTTGTAGGAAAGTGTCTCGCCACGCATCAAACCAAGGAACAGAAACGGGTACATCCAGACTAACATTTCCTGGAACAAATAATCAAATTAGAACCATTCTCATTTAGGTATGTATTCGTTAAAGCAGTTTTATATACCTGATTGCTTTTTAGGTGGTAAGATTGAATTTTTGTAGATATAAAGAAAAGTTTATTAACATCAAAATATTCAAAATACTACTTCTCGGGTCGTTTGCGCCCTTGTCTGAACATCAGTTGGCGGGTTAGGTTAAGTACCTAACTTATGTCCATTAAACAAGTTCAAAATTACTAGCAAGCGGGTATTTACTAGCAGTACTAACTTACTGGCTCTAATGTTTGTTTCACAAAGTGCTAGTTAACACATTGCTTAGGCTACTGCCTAAACTGGCACTCATACTAATGTCGTCTGATTGAGGCTTTAGGCTGATATAACCTCCAACTTTACCCCAGATACTATCCAGACAGACAATCAAAATGCAAACAGGTTCAAATCTCTAGCTGGTAATTTCTGGTCTGTGTATTATAGAAATTGCAATCCTAAAACACTCTAGTCCTGTGGGATAAAACTTAAATTTTAAACCTTAAAAATCAATGTTACATAGTTAACAAATTTGTCTGTGATTAGCTAACGGGTAGGCTACAGTTCCGCAGAGAACCAACGATATCAGATGAAATATTCCTAGTTTTGATATATCGTATTATCGTATTGGATATAGTTTTCACATAATTATTGATTGAATGTACAGTAGACTCCCTCTTATCTGGACACCTTTTAACCGGACATCTGTTTAACCGGACTACACTCAGCGGAAATGGCATCTCTTTAACCGGACAACTTTTATTAGCACATTGGTTTAGCCGGACTAGATTGGCAGGAAGTGGGCGGTACTGAAACAACTGTTCTCATGGGAAAGATTTGAGACCAGTTATCACGTGACTAAATACAATGCTCTCCTAAATTTAAGTTGAATATCACAGTAAACGGTCCGTTTTAACAAGTTTTTGGGGACGTCGGTTTAACCGGAAAAACCATTATCCCGACCGCCCTCCGTCCCGAGGAGTCCGGATAAGAGGGAGTCTACTGTATTGAATATGAACATTTTAAGCCATAGGGTTTTTCAAGAAGACTCTTTCTTTCTGGTATAAGTCATAGGACTATTAGGCCTATAATATTCACTGTGCTGGAAATTTGGTTAGTTTAGACCAATTTAACTTAGGCCTAATTTAATTTCTAATAATAAAAAACAAAGTTACAACATTCATTGAAACAGACGTTGTTATGTTGTATTTTCTAAAACAGATAAATTACAAAGACGTTAAATTGCATTAGTGTCCTCTTGTTTCATGAGTAAAAAATTTTAATTTTGGAAATAATACCGTACCTTGTTTGCCATTAGGCCTATCATAAATTAAACTGAACTAAGCTAACCTAAGCCAAACGCTGCAGCGCACTGTTAAAGACTAGCGGGTGGTCCTCTTCTTGGAAAGACCCATAACAAAAAATCAATAATTTTATTTATTACGGTACGGTATCAAATTAAAATGTCATCTGATAAAATATTGTATAGGGCTCTCTAGGAAACTGTAGGTAGGCCTACAAGCTCACTCAAGTTAACACAATTATGTGTACGTAGATAAGTTATGAGTGTGGAAGGGAAAAAGTTTTAGATCGTTTTAGTTCAATCTAAGTAAAATTTGGACAGGTCAAACTCTAGTTAAAGAATCAATGCTAAAATTACATGGCATCATTAGGGATGTAAAATACCCGGGTATTTAAAACTCGGGGTAAATACCCTGGGTATTTACCTGGGTAAATACCCAAAATCCATAAATACCCGGGTATTTTGGGTATTTATGAAATCGATTGAAATTAATTTATATTTACCCCCAAATATGGTATAGTTATCATTACATGATAAATTAGGATAGTCTTTAACACCTTTTACAGTAACTTGAAGCTTTGCTAGTACCTTTTAATGATTTAGCACTTTTTTTTAATAATAAAGTTTCTGATTGAGAATGGGGTTTCCTGTTTTAAATCGAGTAACGTCAGATAAATTTAACTTACTAAAAATAGTATATTAAAAAAGGCTCTGGCTATTTAAATTTTTATCATTTTATAAATTTATAACCAATTAAATAACATAAACAAAATTATTTTAATTTAAAAATATCCAGGAATTGTTGAAAGATTTATTGTGCTATATAGATTCAAATGTTTTGTATCACAAGTTTATGAAATTAGTTTTTTTTTTTTACACCATTGATACCAACAAAAGATCTAGAACAAAATAAAAAAATAGAAAATATTATTAAATCCTGCCATCCTACAGATTGAATTTTAATTATTTTCTGAAGTTGTTTACACATAGGCCACTACAAGGTAAAATTTTCCTGTTTTTCTAAATAATTATTATTACTTTACAAATTTTTTTTCTTCACTTTCAATAAAATAAATTCATCTATCTATCATAGAAATTAAAAATCATAAGTAGTCAGGACCAGTGCAACCATGCGACCAGGATATTTATGCCGATTAAGCTTTATGCTCAGACCTGGGTATTTATGGCGATTAAACCCAGAAGTAAAATGCTAGTAGTGACCATATGAAATTTTGTTTGACACATTTTATCATCATTTTACTATCCTTACAGGGTAATAATTGCAAAAAAACATCTCAATCTTCTCTAACTTTAATAAAAATTATAAATACCCAGTTTTTGGGTATTTACCCGGGCCTGGGGTAAATACCCGGGTAAATACCCAATTTATATTTACCTACCCACTGGGTATTTACCCGGCCCACATCACTAGGCATCATGATCTGAAACACTGCTTAAATTACTTTAATCACTTTGTAGACCTCCTAAAAAGTAAGGCCAAACCATGTTCCGTAGGCTAATAGCCTACATACTGTCATAACGTATCTTATCATACCATGGCTCTAAAATACCTTAAGTTGACTCACCCACAGTCATAGTTGTAGTCTTTTCATTTACATGACTACTGACTGACTCGTTGAGAAATTTCCTAGCCATTGTCGGTTGAGGGGGTCTTGAATCCACGTGGGAAACATTTATGCGGAAGTTCTTAAGAGTAATTATAGTTCCAGATGGCTCTCGATAGCTTGCTGTTAACAAAACACTGAGTTAACCGTGGCAGTAGAATTTAATATCCAATTACTAAATCTAATAAGGGTAACTTAACTCAGATGTAAATTTCTGCTACTAGGAAAGAAGAGAAAAACATTGAAATTCATATAGAAAGGTAACGGTACACATAAATAAGGACTTACTTAGGCTACTGATAATCCAAGTTAGCAAAATGAAGAAAATTAATAGGTAGCATATGGCGTACTGAGAAGCATTCTGAAGAAAAACAAAGGTGGCTGGATAATAATAGGTAAAACTAACATATGGAAAGAACGAAGAACCGGTAAGTTTAGTCTTCAGAATCTTGAATATTCTTGATTAACTTAAGTGTAGGTATGGTCCAAAAAGTAACTGATGGTTTGAAGATAGTAACTTATATGACAAAAAAGTAGTAAATTTAGGTTAAACCACTGTTTGGACGAACAATCAATTTACTCGCTAAGTAAAGACTTAAGTAAGTTAGGCCCAGGCCCATCCACCTGGATAAATTGGATTGGGTAGCCTTGGCTGATATATATATATATAGGCCTATATATATAGATATAGAAATAGTTGTTATTGCTAAATGCTGATGAGATGTCTATTACCTATACTTAGACTAAGTTATAAGAACCCAAAACAGGACTAACAAAAATTTCCTTACCTTCAACTTGCAGCTTGCAAAAAGGTTGAATCAATTCAGTAAAGGATAGATTATTTTTCTTGCAAATATCATCAACTAAAGGGCTACACATCACAGCAATCGAAGGAGAAAATGAATGTTGTATAAATTCTTGATAAGATACTTTAAAGTGTGACATTTTCTTCGTTAACTTAGGAGATCAAGTCTGGGAAAAGAAGCCTATTTACACACTTGGACAAGTCTCCATCAACTTATTTCACTAAATGCTCCACCGTCGATTACTATTGTGATATATGTTCAAATAAACCATAGTTTTGATCAAACTAACTAGAGTTTTATTCCCATAAATTTGACATAACTACAAAATGCAAACATAATGATAAAGACTCGCCCACTGCTGGCTGCTTGCTGTCCATGATGATGATGATACAAACAATCAGCTGACAGTTGGTGCCCCGATCTTAACAGCTGAGTTGAACAGCTGCTAAATCATCCTGGAGAAATTTCATAATAGATTATATAGAGTTAAACCATTGATTAAATATACATTTTTTGTTCAGTCTATTGTTATTGATACATTTGTAATTAACGGTTGTATTGTGCACTCCAGAGGCATTAGGAGGAATTTCGCAGTGTACGCAAACGTTATAAAATGAACTTGTTAAACGAGTGAGTCATAAATCACGACCGCTATGGTCTCACTTGGTTCACCGTGCCTCAATAACTAGTAAAAGTTGTTAACGGTTTATTTTTACATTGATGTTAAAAAAATAAACTAAATTACTGAATTGAACCATACATACGAATTTAAATCTCTTAAACATTTTGGTTTCTAGATTGTAAAGATTGTTTGCACTGATCCGCAAGAGTTGCTTGTATCATAGGCATACTGGACCAATTTGCTAGGTCCATATGCTGATTAGATGATAGATCGTTGACGTCAAATATAAAAATAACTAGTCAAACAATGGATCCCAGAGTCCATGAATGAACTAACTATGTTCTTTAACAGAATTGGTTTTGACAAATGATTCGAGATATCATGGACCAGTCATTTGCGCCCTGTTTGAAAGGTAAGAACTATCCAAAGCAAGAGGACACCAATAAGGGGCAAGGATGTCATAATGAGAGTGTTCTAACTTGGAGAAGAGGATACTGTGGTCAACGCAGTCAAACCCCAGTCAGCACACGAGATGTTATCTACGTATTTTTAAAGGTAAATCTTGGTAAACTACAATCAAAGTATTATAAAGTTCAGTATTCTGAAGTGCATGTAAAATGTGCATATTATATAATTTCAAATATTTACAAAGAAAAATGTTATTTACTTTTGTTGTAGTTCAACATAAATGATGTCTTATTTTATTTTTAATCGATTTAAACAAAATGTCTTTGCATATTTCTTCATAAATTGGATGTACTGAATTACTAAAATTCATTTTAATAATATTACAAATAATAATATTATTTGTACTACAATAATACAATAATACAAGTAATAATATTACAAATGTAAATAATCTAATCGACGTAAATGTTCCGTATATTTATGTCTCATATACATCAACAATTAACGATTTCCCTCTAGATTCATGCGCATGGCAGGTAGGTAAGGTCAAGAAAGGCACTATAGTGTTGTTAATTAGATACAATCCAATATGCTGACTGGCAGAATTCGAATTTGGACCTCTGGGTCAGAAGCCTTGCGCTCTACTACTAGACTAGCTCACTTCCGTCATGACTTTATGTTTAATACATTACTACGTAATATGACACTAAATGTATAATCACTAAAGCTAAAAAATGTTTATTTACTCAAAACAGAAAGTTAGTTTTTTATTTTCGTAAATTAACTCTTGAAATTTTGGTTTCTGTGTTAGAAGGAGGCAGGTAGCTGTCAAGGTTATTAAAAGAAAATAATTTTTCTTGTAATAACCTTGGGTAGTTTTGTTGTTATTAATGGAGGAAAAAGGGGTATGTAGTCAATGTAGTATGATATGTTGGGGGCTTGCGCTTGCACTCCTGACCTTGAAGGGGAAAGGCACCTCTTCTGCTATTAAGGAATGAAATGAACTATTTGTTCTTGTAGTCTACACCTCTCATCTTATTTTAAACCAAGCCTTTTCATCTGTGTTATGTGTATGTTTACATTTCAGTTCCCTGATATTAGAAAAAGAAAAGTGTATACTCAATGCGCGTATTAACCCCACATGAATATAATCAATGCTATAGGTATGTTTAGCTTATCGCTAAATCAATAAGTTATGTTTAATCTATGATAACAGTTTCAATTCAACTTTTCCCTACTCCTTTTCCTAAACGAAAACAACGTAACGTCAAAAAAGTAGAATGCTTTCTGCTGCTTTCGTTTGTCATTTCGTTCGTTGCGTCGTTAAACATACATAACCTCAACGGCACTCAAGTCAAAAGCTCCAGGAAGAATGTAATTAATGATTTATTATTAATTTCAATGATTCAATTTTTACATTCATAGACGTTACTCAGTAAACCTTTTCAAATGGAACTTTAAACTATGCCCAGACGTCATAACGATGAGTTTATTACAGTTAGTTGCAATTCTTATTCTTGGAGTAGTAGAAACCAAAGATGTTGGTACTTTTGAGGTTGATTGCAGTAAACTGAGAATGGGCCAATTTATTTGCCCTCATCCTGAGGTTATTGACACATACATCGATCCAAAAACTCAACAACCGAGAGGTTGCACCCCTCAAAATACAGCTGAAGGTAAATTATGTTAAATATAACTAGTTGGGCTACTCAGCCAAATGATATTATTTAACTTGTTTTGGGTTTTATTTATATCCTAGTTAAGAAGCCTAACCATGCACAGATTTTTCAAAATTAAAGGTTATGCTGACCCATGTAATGGTCTCACCCAGTACCACCTCAGTCTCCGTTGTTTCTTAGATAGGATCACACACGAGGCTGCCGCCAGTAAGATATCCTCTTCTGTAGTCATTTATAAAACCGACTTCCTTCGAGATCTGTCCTTGAGATTGTGGGAACCGTGAATAAATTGTTTGTAAACAAAATCAAAGAAAAGTTCACCATCTTTTGTAAATTTTTTACAACGAGTATTAGCAGCAAAATTAAAAACATAGCCTAAATTGGCTATAGTAACTTAGGCCTACATGTCACATTACTGATGCATCGCTTAACATAGTTTGACAGGGAATAGGAGTTAAAATTTTTTAGGTCTATTTAAGTTATTTATGACCTTATGATTACCACATTATTGTTATTGTAGATATTATTAACTTCTGTATAGCTTACTGATTCTAGGTTTTGTTAGGCCTACACATACCGTAGCTAGAGACATAAAGTTTTTTATTGTTGAATAAACTATCCAGTGGTGGTCGTAAATTTTCCAGTGTAAAAACGGTGACCATTTTCACAGAAAAATACAGGTCACTTACCAATTAAATATGTGTTCTTTAGAAAAAGCAGAGTGGGAACTGTTCCCATGCGTTCCCGCACCACTATACCACTGACACTATCCATTGGTATTGGAGATTGTGTCAATAGAGTGCAAACAAATAACCGACTCTTAAAAAATGTGATAAAACTTAGATCTAATCTAACGATGAATTGTTTTTTTTTCTGTTTAGTTTTGTGCAAAGCAGCTGAAGGGCTTATTTGTACCAAGTCGGGTAACAACACATTTACAAGAGAAATACCATGTCGCTGGACGTAAGTACAAATAGAACTAATAATGTATGATATTTTAGATTGTTTTTTCAAAACAAAATAAAAGTAGGCCTAACTTATATAGAAAGAGCTGGACATTCTAAGAACTGCCATAACAAGAACTGTACCCTACTTAGTGCTGGAATCCTATTCCTTGAATAATTTCTGGCTCTCTGTTCATACTAATTACCAAATCGTCCTCACTTGGGACGAGAACGACACTGAACCAAGGGAGTGCAGGGCCGAGTGCCAGTTGTAAAAACTTTGACGAGGATTTGACATTTGTATTTCAATGAAAAATCCAGATTAATTAACGGTACTGAAATTTTAGTAGGCCTAGCTAAAAAAATTCAATCTGATAATAATGTAGGCCTATTCTTTGCATTTGTTTTGGATAAAGGTCATATTATTTAAATTAAATAAATGAAAAGTAGAATGAAGTAACTTACCAAACTTGCGTTTACATATATAACTTTTCAATAGGCTAATTATGTCAACCCTAAACCACCACTAAGTAGCAAGTATTGTTGTTGTCTTACAGGAGAAAACTAATACAAGAACATATTGATATTTTTCCAAGATAAACTTTAAGAGTCTTTACTAGCGTACCTTTATTGTAGGCCTATAGTTAAATCTCTATTAACGCTTACGAGGGGACCCTGCACAAATTGTGTACTGTAATGGAATTCAAAACTTGTTTCTGAGACAAAAAAAAATAACACTATACCCTTCTGCCTTTATTTACCATTCAAAGATTATGTTTGCTTTAGGCTGTGGCCACACGGGCGTTTTTTCACGCACAAACGCAGCATGAAAACATGCAAAAAATATAAGCAGCATTAAATGTAATAGGGATTGCCAAACCAGGTTTGGTACTAAATTTGGAAAACCAAATTCCCTGACTTTTCCAGGTTTTCCAGACTGATAACTTATTATACTTTTTCCAGGTATACCCCAAGTCGATATCGACCAATCAAAATCAAGAAATATTAGAAAAAAAATTAAATATTTAACTTATTTAATCACTCCCAAATAAAAAAATTGTTTCAAACTATGTACATAACGATTCATTCCCCGTACCGATAAATACTATCGATATAAAAATGTGCATCAGTGCTTATGTCGTTCTTTTTGCCATTAGTCATCACACTGATAAAAACATGTTTAGGTGCAGAATGTACCATATCTGTAAAAAGTAGTCTTTTAGGAGAAATTCCAGAATTTTTTCATAATTCCCTGACTTTTCCAGACCAACCAAATGCACTGACTTTTCCAGGTCTTCCCTGACTGTACCAACCCTGCAAACGCGGTGTGTTTCCCCGCAGTAGCGGGTACATATTTGTTTTAATGCTACTCAAATCTTTTGCGTGTTTTTACGCTCCGTTTCTGCGTGAAAAAACTCCTATATGTGGCCCCAGCATAAGACAGTTAATAGGTGGAAAATACTAATGTTGTAATTTACATTTACTGTAATTAAATTTGTTGAATTTTAAGATCTATCATATTATAAAGAGTGATTTACCTACCTCAATCAAAATTAACAATCATCTTTAGTGTATAGCTGAGTGGTTTTAGTGCTCGCCTAGTAAAGAAAAGGTCGCCGGTTCGTTCCTGTGAGAAATTAGTAGTTTTTTGATGGTTCAAAACTGGACCCAGCTGCCCTTGATCATTGGGCTTTTAATTGTCCTGATTAATGAAACAGCTGATCTTAGTCTATAACAAAACTACACAAGGCATCTCACTCCATTCTACACTTATCCTTTACTCATATTTGGGTTAAAATATGCACCTAGGTGGCGTCCCTATTTTAAATTGAAATTTGGTAATTTAATATCCATTTTCATCAACCTGTTTTCGTCTTTGGTGATTATTATCTGTTACTGTAATGAAATTATTCAAAATTAGGATCAGCTGTTATTAATTCACCTTTAAATCTGTTATAGGGAAGTTGATCTGCACCACTAGATATTTGAACGTGAAGTGCAGATATTAGGCCTACAAACACTAGGCAAAGCCCTATATGAAATTAACTTTTTAGTTATCCTTTGCTAGATCATAAGCCTCCAAATGACACCTAAATCGTAGAAATCGGTAAAGTTAAGTAGGATGGGTGAAACGGAATGTTACAGAGAAAACCCTTATATGCCCCCTAATGTTATATATCTTTTCCAGAAATGGCTACCACTTTGAAACTGCAATGCTTCTTTCCATTTTCCTCGGAATGTTTGGAGCCGACAGATTCTACCTCGGTTACCCTGCACTCGGATTACTCAAGTTCTGCACCATGGGATTTATGTTTCTCGGCCAACTCGTTGATATTATATTGATAGCTACCCAAGTAGTCGGACCAGCTGATGGCTCTTACTATATCATTCCCTATTATGGAGCTGGAATCCAAATGGTGAGGAGTGATAACTGGACTTACAGAGTGCCTCAAGACGATTGGTGACTTGGTAACCAATAATGTCTGCCAAATAATGTTCTAACCAAAAATTAGAAGTCTTTGGTAAGCATACAAAGCTACAAAAATATTTGTGTAGGACAAAAGGGTTTTCATTTAAAACTAAGTTAACACAAGACTACAAATACTAAAACTAAAAAAAGGCATTTGAATATTTTTTTGCAGGCCTTATGCACTTGAAGAATGTGAGAAATAGCGGAAAACTATTGAAAAATGGCTATAAAATTAAGAAACTGATCAATTTTGTACGTTTCTTTAATTTTTTGCTTGGCTACCTCTTTTTCAATTTTTTCACATTTCTTGTAAGTGTTTTCTTTACCACTGGCATTTTTTAAAGTTTTTTGTAAGGGAACGGTCCAGAACCTAATTTTATTACCGTGCAGAACATTGTTTGGTGGATCCATCCAATCCGATTAAGAGAACATGGAAGGCTCAGAACTACATGTCAGAAGTATATAATTCTGTGATATTAAGGACATAGTGTAAATAACAATAAATGTTAGAATTACTTAAAGGCTCTTTGTTTTTCCTCAGACGTATCCAAAATGTATAATTCGAGGCTGTCGAAGATGTCTCAGTACTTGAGCTAAGGTAATTGTACTTGTTAAAATATTGACCTCTACCATTAGTAGCTTGGTTTTTTTACACTATGTGCATTTAATGAAATGTTTGGTCTATGGTATAACCAGTCCTTACGAATAGCATAAAATAAAATTTGTTAAGTGACTGATGATAAAACAGAAACTTTTGTATTGCATGTTCCTTCAATTTTAATTGCTTTAATCTTAATGTGTGATTAAGAATCTTTCGATTTTGATTTCTATTTGAGAATCTCCCATAACAATACAAAACCTATACTATATTTCATTTGTTTCTTAAATGTTGAACATACAATCATTTTTAAGCTTCAGAAAATAAACTGGGTGTTTAAGAAGTTTACAGCCTATCCATGTTTTACAATATTTGGTAACAGAAAGGTAAAATGATTGACCTGATTGTTGTTCAAGGTGATATAATTCAAAACAAAAGTACTATGAATTAACAAATCAATCTCACTCGGTCTAATGTGAAATTTCTGTGAAACAACGTGAATAATTTCATAACACCGTGCTTCTTCAAGTGTTAAAAAATTAGATCTAGATCTAACAAAATGAATCCTCTAGCATTTGCAAATCTTCACCTTCCTACTGAGTGCTTTCTTCTATCATGTGGATGCCTCCAGACAAATTCCTTCCGATACTTCGCACATCCTCTGGCAACCATCCAATGGGCGGTGGGCTAAAAAGTGACAAAACGTGATACATTTACAAGTCAAAAACACACCAACAATTAATTAACGTAAGCTCTTAAGTTAGGCTGTCAAGTCGCCAGAAATCTGACCCCCTGACAACTACCCCCCCTCCCAAGCTGGTTCCTATGTCATATTGATGCCAGAGATCGGGTGGGGGGAGGCAGTTTCCTAGTCACAAGTTTTGGTGTCAAACTGTTCTAATTTAACTACAGTAGAGTCCCGCAAACTCGGCGTAATGTGGACTGGAAGGGTGCCGAGTTTGTGAAATGCCGGGTTATCAGGAACTAGGGTTAAAAATAAGAACAATACAATTTTTAAGCTTTTTAACCGCCTTTTTTATTAATAATTTTATTACAAGTCAGTATTAAGTCTTCAGATTTAGTACAACAAATCCTTGGTATGAGTTGCGAATGATTTGTCTAGCGCTGGCTTGAGTCCATTTTTAACTCGGACTCAAAAAATCACTTATTTTCTGAGCCAGGTGATGGTTATCCAGACTGCCGGGTTATCGAGTGCCGAGTTTGCGGGACTCTACTGTACTTGCTAAAGCATTTCAAAATACTTTTTCATATATTCCCCACATGCCTTTTCTGTAATCAAATGAAGTTAACGTATGAAATTAACGGCTCCCATTTTGGAAGATTTCGTGACTTCAGTTGTCATAATGAATTATGAAGTAGGAGGTGATCAAACGGATCTTGATCTTGCTTCCGTGTGATGTGGTTGCAAGTAGTGCAAAGAACACCTGAAATTGTCAGTAACCAAAAGACATTACATATACCAAGTAGTGCAAAGAACACCTGAAAATGTCAGTAACCAAAAGACATTAATATACTTATAATTATAACTAATTTTAGGGGTCTGCAGGCCCCTAAAATTCTGCTTCTATTTGAAAAAGCAGAATAATAAATTTACCGTCTCGTCACGGTCTCCACGATCACAGAGGAGGTTCTACCGCTGATCTTAGGGCCAGTACACACACACCGACTTTTGTCGTGCCCCTGTACAACTCATGAAATCGTATATCTGCACGACAAGTAGAGAAACAAAGTAGGCAATGGAAGTCGCATGGGGGTGTACACACTAGTGCGACAGCAGTCGTGGAGGACTGGGCGTGGGGGAACACCGACTGGGGGTCCGACAGGCAAGTTGTGTCGTATGGGCTCACGACTGTTTTGAGTCGTAGCGGGACATGGCGTTATACGGCTGTCGCGTCGGTGTATACACACTAGTGCGTCTCGGGACACGACTGCGGGGCGCCAAGCTGGGTTTTTAGCTATTTAAAACTGGTCTGCGACACTAATTATTAAATTACAAACGTTCAAAAACCAACTTTTTTGCGATTTTAGACGTTTTCCAAGATGTTATCATGGCAACGGTTGTGAGAGGTTAAGTGTAGTACAGTATTATTTAATTTATGTAGGCTACTTCAAAATAGGTGAATGATTGTAATTGTTCAAATAGGTTAACATTAAACAACGTCTTTGTTGATTTTTTAACCATAGGTGATCCATTAAATGGGGTATTATACATTTTGAAAGTACACCCGGATAGTCCGGCCATTTTGTAGTCTGGCCGGTGGTCCAATCCCGAGGTGGCCGAAGTAGAGAGAGTCTACTGTATGTACTTTTACACGAATAACTTATTGTAATGGTAACTTATTGTAAAGGGCAACAAAAATTAACATTTCCTTAACAGATAACACATATAATTAGACAAATTAAGGATGTGTAATGAAATACATAAATAGTACATAAATGGCATTACATAAATTCTTGTTTATTTTTGCAAAGTGTTTCATAACAAAAAACAAGTTTTTTTTACATAGCAACGACTAAACTTTCCATACACATTCATTCTGTTTATACATGGTTGTATGCCTGGGTTAGCTGGGTTAGTAGTCCTAAAGCCAGTAGAGTTCGCTGTTGTGTTTGCTGAGTCGTATACCGATACGACAACTGTCGTGAGGTAACGCGACTTTGTCGTATGCCAGCACGAAACGAACAGTCGCACTCACATGAGTCCAAGTCGGTGTGTGTGTACCGGCCCTTAGATAATGTTCACAATTCAGCCATGATCGCAGATGTTCACTACTACACCTTGATTGCAGGAGATTGTGTGTTCAATTTGTAAATATAATATTAAAATTTGTTTATCTTTTTTTTAAAGCAAAAATACTAACCGATTGGGAAACAGAGAAACCCATAAATTAGATGTAAATTTTGCATGGAATTGGGAAATTAGGAATAGCCGCCAATAGACAATTGCGGAAAATAACGGATATTAAGTTTTTATGTAATTTTACTGCATTCCCGGCTAACACTTTGGTAATGTCAATAAGGTTCAGCAGTGGGACTCTGCTGTGTATTTACCTTTCAACAATATTCTTCATCTCAACAATGAACTACTGCAGTTCACAGTTGAAAGCAAGGTTCGGTGATCTCAAAGAGACCAGCATATTTTCCGCTCCTCCTAGCAATCTCAAATGCCGTCTCATTGACGTGGTTCTTCATGTCGGGCCTGATGTTGTGGTGCATCAGAAGCAGTTCTAGACAGTCCCTGGCGTAGCTGTTGCTAGCTGCGGTGTGCAGCGGTGTTAAATCTGAGGAGAAACATCCGTTACATAAACCGCATGACAATATAATATACACCAACATAGTCACAATACTTACTTTTAGAAAGTCTACTTCACTCAAGTCTACTTTAAGAAAATGTCCAATCAAATGCAGGCCCCCAAGTGGTTTTTGACCTCAAAAAAGTAGGAAAAGTAGGACTTTTTCAACAAAAAGTAGGACTTAATTTTACATACAAATCAAACTTTTTTGCTGATACAATATATATTAATACCCCCGTCGCAGCAAACCTGCATACTAAGCGAATTTCCATTCACCAGGCTCGATTTCTACTAAAATATTCCCTATAAATTTTCAGATTTATTTCCTATTTAAATAACATTAATTTTAGTGAGTAGTTAGGTTTGCTGCTACGGGAAAGATGTTGAGGTGTGTTTTTTCAATTGAAATATTGATAGCTTAGTATGAAATAAGCCAAATTGCCAAATTTGATTAAAATATATCCATAAACAAGCAAACTAGAACAGTTTATTTATTCTCCATAAGAATAACATGGGAATTTTAAATTTACAATTTCTTTAATTTTCTCCGTAGTCAATGAACATTTAAAAAAACTTCAATATACTAAATTATTTGTTTTTTTAAGCTCTTCAAAATGGTCTAGAGAGAAATTTAGAAATTTAAAGTTTTTAGGGTCAAAAATGAGAAAAACCCATTTTTACCCCATAAAACCCCCCATAAACCCCTGATCCCATGGTCCGATTATGCTGGTTTGCGAACTCGTTCGAATAAATGTAGGTTTACACGTTTGTACCAAATTTCATCAAAATCGGATCAATTTTGCTCGAGTTATCGCGCTAACGGACACATATATAAATATATATATATATATATATTATTAAGCAAATCAAAATACCACAGTACCCTAGAAACATTTTATTTTATATTACTTACATGTTTCGGACATTAATGCCATGACCACAGTATAGTATATAACCTATTAGTTTCTTTTATTTACAAACATTATTAGATATTTCTTATTAAAGAACAGGTGATAATTTTTATATTAAGGGAAGGAGGTGTTTTCTTTAAGATGTATAATTTCATTGAATATTACGTTTTGATTTTGAATTTGTGTCAAGTTTAGTAAATTGTCTTTGTCATTAATATGGTGAGTATAAATATAAAAGTCTTCCTTTGTATTCATTTTTTCTCCTTTATTTTCAATATCCAGAATGTGCATGTTTTTATTCATTTCTGAGTATGTATGGTCGGTCTGAAGTATATGTTCGGCGTATGAGGATTTTTGTGTTGTCATATTGTTTGATCTGATTGCCTGTATATGCTCTTTGTATCTGACTTCAAATGTTCGACCTGTTTGACCAATATAGTATTTTTCACAGTTGTTACATGATAATTTGTAAATTCCTGATTTCTTATATACATTTGGTGGGTTGGGTATCGGATTTGTTCTTTTTTGTATTATGTTAAAAGCGTTATTCCTTGTTTTATAACTTAGTTTAAATTTTGAGTTCGGTAATGTCTTTCTTAAGGTTTTGTTTAAGGATGAGCTGAATGGAATACATATAAATTCTTTCTTTACATTTTCTTGTTCTTCTACTTTCATTCTTTTAGTTTTTTCATTTTCAAAAAGGTAGAAAACTTTATTGAAGACAATAATTACAGAGAACTCTCTAAAGATCCCACACTAGAATACAGTAAAGAAATTAATAGTACAATATCTAAATGTAAAACTTTAAATAAAAGTGACATGATACAACTAAAAATGATAAATCCAATAATACCAAAATTTAGAGGACAACCTAAAACACATAAAACAAATGTACCAATACGTCCTGTTGTTAACTACCGAAATGCCCCAGCATACAATGTATGTAAGTACCTAAATAATAAACTAAAACATAAGATAAACTTTGAATCTGGATACAGTATCAACAATACATATAAATTAATTGAAAAAATTAAGGATGAATTAATACCTGAAAATGCAATTTTTATCTCCTTTGATGTAACTAATATGTATTCAAATATTCCTACAAAAGATACCCTTCAAATCCTTCAAGAAACTTTAAACAAAAATAAACAGGTTTCAAAAAATGAGTTAAATGATCTTATGAAACTATCTAGAGTAGCAATCAATCAAAGCTATTTTGAATTCAATGGCAAAATTTTCAAACAATTAGAAGGATTGGCTATGGGTTCTCCACTTTCTGGTATTCTAGCAAACATATATATGCAGCATCTAGAATCATCAAAAATCATAAACGACGAAAATCCATTTAAAAAAGATATAATCTATTGGTATAGATATGTCGATGATATATTATGCTTATACAACGGCAATAAAGACTCATATCAAGATTTTTTGAAATACTTAAATTCTATCTCCCCAACAATTAAATTTACGATGGAGACACAAGAAAAGAAGATAAATTTCTTAGACATAACAATTACTAAAGAAAACGATCGACATAATTTCAATATATATAGGAAACCTACCCAAACTGACCTAATCATTCCATTTGAGTCAAACCATCCTTGGCAACACAAAATTTCTACATTCAAATCAATGGTATTTAGACTACTTAACATACCAATGTCTAAAGACAACTTTGAAATAGAAAAGAAAACTATAAAAAGAATTGCAGGAACAAATGGATACAAAGAAAAAATGATTGAAAAATTAATAAAAAATGAAAAAACTAAAAGAATGAAAGTAGAAGAACAAGAAAATGTAAAGAAAGAATTTATATGTATTCCATTCAGCTCATCCTTAAACAAAACCTTAAGAAAGACATTACCGAACTCAAAATTTAAACTAAGTTATAAAACAAGGAATAACGCTTTTAACATAATACAAAAAAGAACAAATCCGATACCCAACCCACCAAATGTATATAAGAAATCAGGAATTTACAAATTATCATGTAACAACTGTGAAAAATACTATATTGGTCAAACAGGTCGAACATTTGAAGTCAGATACAAAGAGCATATACAGGCAATCAGATCAAACAATATGACAACACAAAAATCCTCATACGCCGAACATATACTTCAGACCGACCATACATACTCAGAAATGAATAAAAACATGCACATTCTGGATATTGAAAATAAAGGAGAAAAAATGAATACAAAGGAAGACTTATATTTATACTCACCATATTAATGACAAAGACAATTTACTAAACTTGACACAAATTCAAAATCAAAACGTAATATTCAATGAAATTATACATCTTAAAGAAAACACCTCCTTCCCTTAATATAAAAATTATCACCTGTTCTTTAATAAGAAATATCTAATAATGTTTGTAAATAAAAGAAACTAATAGGTTATATACTATACTGTGATCATGGCATTAATGTCCGAAACATGTAAGTAATATAAAATAAAATGTTTCTAGGGTACTGTGGTATTTTGATTTGCTTAATAACATTTAAAGTAGCCCTCATTGATGTATACAATAACAAAATATATATATATATATATAAATATATATATATATATATATGAATTTGAACGGATGGTGTTTTTGGCCTCTGGGGACCTCAAAACGAAAAAGTAAATCGGTCCCGGGTCTAGGTCTTACCATGAGACCTACGGTAATAGCTTATTCCCTATATGGGAAATTCGCTAAAAACCAAATAATACTAGCATACACAATAGTTTATCAAATAGAATAGTGTATATAAATATACAGGGTGTTTCCAAATTGTCTGGACATATTTTGTGGACTTGTTTCTGGGGCTAAGACAAACATAAAATTCCATATAAGTATGCATGGGTCTAAAATGCCTAAATTTTTGTTGGTCGGTCTGTTTGTGACATTTAAAAATTATTTTATATCTTGAGCATTTTTCAAGATAGAACTTTTAAAATGGTTATAAATGTGTATTTTAGAAGGTGAAAAGAGCTTGCAAAGTTTCGATCCAATATCTCAAGCCGTTTCAATATGGCAGCCATTTAAAATCTTTAATGCTAAATTTCATGAAAACCGTAAATATTTAGAAAATGGTTTCCAGGATCAAAAAGATAGAGAATTCAAATCCAAATCAAATGAGACCTTGTTTGTAAAATCGGATGACAAACAACCATAAATAAGTTTTTTTTCAACATTCGATTACGCAATTTAATAGCACTACCATACTGTATTCTTATTTGTTATTTTTCAGAGCAGTATGGGTGGGTGGTAGTCCTATTAAATTGCGTAAACAAATTTAGAAAAAACTGATTTGGTTGTTTGTCATCAAATATTAAAAAACAAGGTCTCATTTGATTTGTATTTGAATTCTCTATCTTTTTGATCCAGAAAACTATATTCTAAATATTTACGGTTTCAAATTAAATTTGGCATTAAATATTTTAAATGGCTGCCATATTGAAACGGCTTGAGATATTGGATCGAAACTTTGCAAGCTCTTATCACCTTCTAAAATACACATTTATATCAATTTTAAAAGTTCTATCTTGAAAAATGCCCAAGATATAAAATAATTCTTAAAAATCACAAACAGACCGACAAATTAAAATCTAGGCATTTTAGACCCATACTTATATGGAATTTTATGTTTGTCTTAAGCTGGGTTTTCCTAGGTGCGGAAGCGGAGAGAGGAACGCGGAGAGCGGAAAAGAAATTAACATGGTGTTCCGCTCCGCTTCTGGGAAAACAGAAACATTAAATTACCTAAGACAAGTGGAGTCCGCTCTCCGCGTTCCTCTCTCCGCTTCCGCGCCTAGGAAAACCCGGCTTTAGCCCAAGAAAGAAGTCCACAAAATATGTCCAGACAATTTGGAAACATAACTAAAATAATTCTATATATAAATTTTAAAATTAATATCAATAATTAATTATTTTTATTTAAAAAATCTTCAACTAAAAGGCCGGATAAAGTTTTAGCTGAGATTGTACACCAAATATTCAGAAGTAACGCACAAGAGAAATTAAAATGTTAAGGTGTCATTATCTACAGTCATCACAAAAAAATATTTAGGACAAGCAGCATTAAATAAAGGATAAAAATAAATATGTTTCCCTAACGTTACCAACCAGCCCTAATTTGTGTTTAAAATGGTGCTGTAAATAAGAAATTTGTTCTTTTGTTTATATTATTTAATATTTCAGAACTAAAATTAATATAAAAGTAAAATGAATTTTTTTGGGTGGAAAACAGAAGCATGAATAGTTATTTAAGTAGGCCTATAAAGTACAAAACTATATATAATATAAAATTCTAAAAATATGTTCCAAAAGTATTTTGAATTAGTTAGATTAGAGCTATCTTAAAAGTAGTAGGAATGTTTGAATTGTAATGAGTAAAAACTATTTGAGCCAGTGAGACTTGGACATTTAAACTTGAACTTAAGCCTTAATTTATTTTGAATATAGTTATGTCAAAAAATCATGTTTAGGCTAATCAGGGAAACACTGGACCGATAAGTGCTAAGTTAACTACTTTTGAACTAGTATCCCAGGGCTCCCCAGGAGCATTGATTTCCCCTCAGTTTACTTCATTGGGGAATCTAAAAGACATGTCAGAATAGTAAGCACTGATAATAATCACAATTTTTATTTTCTATCACAATAGTATTGCCATGTCTTTGAAAAAAAAAATGTTTTCACCCAATAACAATGTTGATAAGATTAACCATACAGATACTACCAGTACTGGAACTTATAAATTAAAATTTAAAATCATTTAACAGATTGTTTTATAAAAAATATATCTCAGTCAGTCATATTTTTTAGGAAAAAACTTCTCATTGGGAAATATTGATAAGTAAACATTAATAATAAGTGTAATAAAATATCGCAAAATCGACATAATTTTTATAAAAAAGTAGGAAAGTAGGACAAATGTGTAAAAAGTAGGACTTTTCCTACTTTCCTACTAAAAAGTAGGAAAAGTAGGACGACTTGGAGGCCTGCAAATGTTAATGATGCATAGTTTTATGCAGTTTTTTTATGTACAGCTTGAATTTGACTATTGCAGGGGGGATTGGACTGATAGTGGAGGGTGAAGAAGAAGGGTCCTAGCAATAACGTAAATACAGTGTCGTGCAGTATTACACCGACAAAATTACAATACTTTAAAAACATTACTACAATGTTACATTACATGCTATAATGTTAACTCTTCTACAAAGTTATAAGTGCAGTAAGTAAGTAGAGTTATTGGTACAGCTAAATTAGAGATAAAACAATGGATTGGCGTAACTAAAACGTCCAATCAAATGTTGATGCTGTGTGACGTTTTGTTGTTTTTGCATGTGACATAGCTTGAACTGTCTATTAGGAATAAGGAATTATAGTATGTTCAAATTACGAAGGCGGTCGCGGATCAGGCCTACCTGTGGCCAATGAATATAAACCTTATTCAGTGGCTGCAAGTAGCCTTTGTTATTTGAAAGAAAAAAACAATAGTGATGTTGGAGGATAAATTTTGAAAACTTATAATTTTGCTTGATTTTATTTGCATTGCTAACTAGACTTTGGGTAAAGTTGGGTTTTATTTCTATGGGTTGGTTTATCCATTTTATTCAGCAACTTAAAGAACTATAATGCTCTCTTCTGTGTCCTCATCCTATTAAATAGGCACAGGTAAAGCAAATACTGATTTGATGATTGAGTGGACGGGGACCTGCAATGGGATAGGCATTGGTACATCCTCGACTGAGTTGTCTATTGTCATTGACAAGGAATTTATGGCTTTAAATAAAACATTGGGTTTTCATATCACAACCTAAACATTTCCAACTCTACCTCCATCCGTTAAAGCATTGACATCAGCACCGTAAGCCAGCAGTTTGGCCGCACACTCAGCATTGTTCCATTTACAGGCCGAGTGTAGCGGCTGCCAGCCACAGTCTGTTTTGGCTGCTATGTTTGCTCCGCTCTGTATCAATAACTGTGCAAACATAAACCGCCATGAAATAAGATTGTATAGTTGGTAGTATTGGTTTTTTTTTTAAGAGATAAAGTTCAGCTTACCTGAAGAAATTTAGAGTCTCAAGGCCTATTGATACACACTATACATACATATATTTTGTATGCTAAAAATAACTTATTTTGAAAGAAAACGAGAGCACTTCTAAAGATTATTTTAGCTATCCGCCATCTTGATGACGTTCCCACTCCTATGGATCATTATGATGGTCAAACACAGGCGTTGGACTAAACATACAATATACTGATAAATTGAATAAGCCAATGAAGAAACCGTGAGCAGAAAAATATTAAAAGCAGTGTTGAATGTATTCAAAACTAAAATTGAAAATGCTATGACTAATAGGCTTACTGTACTTTCAAAGGCACCCAGAGTTACATTTGAAAATACACTCAATCTTGATAAATTAAATACAGCTATCGTTTGGTGGTTTTCAAAGCTACAGTCCCTCGATAATCCAAAACGCCAACAGCTGATATCAGCTGAAATAAAACGAGCCAGCAGCAACATGAATCTCCCCCCCCCCACACGCATATTAAAAGTGCCATACCCTCCCTACGCACTATATTAAAAGTGTCATACCCTCCCTACGCGCTATATTAAAAGTGTCATACCATAATTTTGTAGACTAGTAAATTACATGAACTATTTGGTGTACCTTATGATAATTTGGCTATTACTACTGCATTGGAAAATAATGTTTGTGTTGTTCTTGGCTTTCAGAACAAATATTACATAGGTTTACCTTAGATTTTCCAGGTTCTTGGTGTATCGTGAAACCTGGTGTACATTCGCCACTTGTATAGCATCTTCCGGAGCAATGTTTATTTATTTTTAAGTTTATTTAACTCTGCTGAAGAGTTATTTATATTGTCAAAAATATTTTTTCAAACACCAACGTGATTATAATTCAAATATCTATTATACTGTGAATTAGTGGGGAGCGAGCTGGCGTAGTGGTTAGAGCGCGGGACTTCAGTCCCTGAGGTCCCAGGTTCGATCCCCGCCAAGTCACCAATGGATTTTATCCAAGTGATAATGCCGCAACCCCCTAGGTTTAGCCTGAAGTAATGTGAAAAACAATCCCAGGCTCGTGCCTAGCGTCCTAAGACAAAAAAAAAAAAAAAAACTAACTGTGGATTAGAAATGTTTTTTGTAGGCTAGTTATGAATTGTTCTTCAAGGGAGTCCATGAAAGCTATCGGCGATCTTGGATTTGCCTGTCATAAGAGCAATGTTAATTTTGTTAATTTCAAACAGCCGCTGAAGAGTTATTTACCATCTCAAAATATTTTTCCAAACGCCAGTGTGATTGGAATTTAAATACCTAGTGAGCTGTGGGATTAGAAATTTTCTTTGTAGTTTTTAAATTGTTTTACGAGTTAGAAATCTAGGCTCCAAGGACTCTTAATTAAATAAATAGGATAGAATTATTGATGTAAATAGATAAACCAAAATAAAAAGGTTACAATAGGCCCCCTACCTGCAAACTGCCTATCGGGGTCCTTGATCATCCATCAGGATTATGTGTTTTGGTATTACTTTAGGTACATCTTCACACCTTTTTTTACAAAATATGAAAAAAACTAATAATATTTAAATAGATAAAACATTGCTCCGGAAGATGCCACACAATTAAAAACATATACATCCGGCTGCCCCACACATACGTATGTAAAAATATAAGCTAATGGTCATATTTAATCTTTAAAAAATGTATGATAATCCAAGATGTTCATATATTCATCATCCTCCTGCCCCTTATCTGTTAGATTATCAAAGACAACTTGGCATTTTACAACTTTTTTTCATAGAAATTCTAATGGCTGGTCTTGTTTTTGTTTAGTATCCAAAAAGACCTTTACTCAAAATGTAGTTCAATAACTTAAGGTTACTTTCAAACAGACAATTGGCAACTCCTACCTCCACAGTCTCCACATGGTTGTTGTAACAGGCTCTGTGCAAAGCAGTATAACCGTCTTGATCTCTCACATGCACGATGGAAGGATTCTCCTTCACCAGTCTCTTTATTATTTCATTTTCTCCATTTTCTGCAGCCCACAATATTTCCTTGTTTGGTGACGCTGAAAATGATTAGCCTAATATAAAAAATAGTAAGAGTTGAGGTTAGGATCAAGCAATAAAAATGTTAATAAACCAGAGCAGAGCACCCAATATTATTTTAGGAAATCACCCTCTTTGGTATTAACTTCTTAAATAAATATGCCTAACCAGCTAGCTACTCTTATATTTTTATATTGTTGATGTAGAGCTTTTTACTACGAAGAGAACTTCCTATGAATTCTGTTTATAAACTGTATACAGTTTAAGAGTGAAAATGAACGTAATTGAGCTCCTGACAGAAAAATCTGACGCAAATTGCTGACTTCACTCAACGCCAACAAACAACCGTAACTGAAAGGACAACTTATTGTAGGTCTAAATATAACTATATATTCAACTTTTGATACTTATCTGGTTATAACACTAAGGCCGTTTTGTAGACTACTCCATCGTCGGGTGTAGTCGTATTTTAGTTTTTTAGTAGTACTGTATTTTAGCTGTACGACTACACCCGACGATGGAGTAATCTCCAAAACGGTCGTAGTGTTATAACCAAATAAAGATTGCAAAGACAGTAAGTAAATATGTATTTATACATATAATTGGGTTAAAATACGCACCTAGATGGCGACTTCACCTCAAATATTGATAATTGAACATTAGGCCTACATGTTTTTTGTAGAGGGACAGTGGAGATGGCAGCAAACAGAGAAGCGTGGAAGAGGCTGATCTACGAGGCGAAGAATCGACTGCGATTTGTAGCGCCCCAGCAGTAAAGTAAAGTAAAGGCCTACATGTTTATTTCTAAGTACTAAAATACATTGCGTCGCCCAAGGTACATGAGTTATCTACCAGTATAAATATTTGGCTACAGAAAAAATCCCTCTCTGTTCAAGACCTAAAAACTATAAATTACCATGAGGGTTCAGCTCTTCTTCCACTCCGTCTGTATCTTCATCCCATCCACTGACAAAACCTAATTCATCACCTGATGATCTTCTAATGTCATCATCTGTGACAACTGGTAATAATTCTTGATCACTCTCCATCTCTTCGTCTGCCATAAGTTATAATCTAAAATAAAATAAACAATTTATTTTATGGTTTGATCAAATTAAAGTCAGTTTAACCTTTTGATCATTTTAAACTGAACCCATGTAAACCTTAACCAAATAACTAAAATTTATTAACATTACAGTACCAATTAAGTTGGGGACACTATTTGACTGAAAGCTACTGGGCGTAGTTCGAAAATGAGTGAATGGTGACTGTAGAAGGGAGTGACATATGTCTGTTTGTGTCCAATTTTTTCATGAGTTTCAAAAAAAGGTAAATTTGGTCTAAACTTAATAATGATTATTGTACAATTTACCTCGCCAAGTAATCCTAATTTTTGATGTCAGGTTAATAACCTGTATGTTTGCCCGTATTTTTTACAATATCACCAGGATTACAAAACATAACTTAGGCTATACAAGATATCGCTCACACACACACACACAAATAAATAGCCTACCTACACAAATAACTCACTAATAAGTTAAAACTTAGTTCACTAAGTTACAGAAGGAAATTTAGGCTATGGTAAGTTATTGAGTGTTAATTCACTCATCATCCCTTAAGCCCCCCACACACTATCCAACATGTTGGACGGACGTGTCGGGATCCAACGTCTTGTCGAACATATTGGACAGTGTGTGGGTTTCAACCCGACATAGCTCTGTAACTTAGCTCTGTACCGGTACACTGGATCTCATTTTTTTAGATGGGAACGGTTCTAGACACCCTTAGAATCCTAGGAAATATGCCAGCACTTAGGCAAGAGTTAGGTCCGTGAAGTTGGCGTACCCATATTAGCGTATCCACTTTTGATCATTCCAATCGTTAGTTCATCGTTAGTTCTCGATAGTTCCCAAATTTTGTCGTTAGTTCTCAAAAAATAAAAAATTTATAGCCGATAATAAGTGGGTACGCTAACTTCACACTTCCGGGTTCTAGCGCACGCCGTTTCCTGATGAGAAATGTTTACATCTATATATCAATCGTTAGTTCTTCGTTAGTTCTCGATAGTTCTCCAATATTAACGTTAGTTCTCAAAAAATAAAAAAGTTACGAGGCATACAAAGTGGGTACGCCAACTTCACAATTATAGAATTTCCAGCGGGCACACTTTTTTGAACAAAAATGCTTACATCTATATACCAATCGTTAGTTCTTCGTTAGTTCTCGATAGTTCTCTAATATTAACGTTAGTTCTCAAAAAATAAAAAAGTTACGAGGCATACAAAGTGGGTACGCCAACTTCACAATTATAGAATTTCCAGCGGGCACATTTTTTTGAATAAAAATGCTTACATCTATATACCAATCGTTAGTTCTTCGTTAGTTCTCGATAGTTCTCCAATATTAACGTTAGTTCTCAAAAAATAAAAAAGTTACGAGGCATACAAAGTGGGTACGCCAACTTCACAATTATAGAATTTCCAGCGGGCACACTTTTTTGAACAAAAATGCTTACATCTATATACCAATCGTTAGTTCTTCGTTAGTTCTCGATAGTTCTCTAATATTAACGTTAGTTCTCAAAAAATAAAAAAGTTACGAGGCATACAAAGTGGGTACGCCAACTTCACAATTATAGAATTTCCAGCGGGCACACTTTTTTGAATAAAAATGCTTACATCTATATACCAATCGTTAGTTCTTCGTTAGTTCTCGATAGTTCTCCAATATTAACGTTAGTTCTCAAAAAATAAAAAAGTTACGAGGCATACAAAGTGGGTACGCCAACTTCACAATTATAGAATTTCCAGCGGGCACACTTTTTTTGATAAAAATGCTTACATCTATATACCAATCGTTAGTTCTTCGTTAGTTCTCGATAGTTCTCCAATATTAACGTCAGTTCTCAAAAAATAAAAAAGTTACGAGGCATACAAAGTGGGTACGCCAACTTCACAATTATAGAATTTCCAGCGGGCACACTTTTTTTGATAAAAATGCTTACATCTATATACCAATCGTTAGTTCTTCGTTATTTCTCGATAGTTCTCCAATATTAACATTAGTTCTCAAAAAATAAAAAAGTTACGAGGCATACAAAGTGGGTACGCCAACTTCACAATTATAGAATTTCCAGCGGGCACACTTTTTTGAATAAAAATGCTTACATCTATATACCAATCGTTAGTTCTTCGTTAGTTCTCGATAGTTCTCCAATATTAACGTTAGTTCTCAAAAAATAAAAAAGTTACGAGGCATACAAAGTGTACACTAACTTCACAATTATAGAATTTCCAGCGGGCACCGTTTTCTGACTAAAAATGTTTATATCTATATACCAATCGTTAGTTCTTCGTTAGTTCTCGATAGTTCTCCAATATTAACGTTCGTTCTAAAAAAATAAAAAAGTTACGAGGCATACAAAGTGGGTACGCCAACTTCACAATTATAGAATTTCCAGCGGGCACACTTTTTTGAATAAAAATGCTTATATCTATATACCAATCGTTAGCTCTTCGTTAGTTCTCGATAGTTCTCCAATATTAACGTTCGTTCTAAAAAAATAAAAAAGTTACGAGGCATACAAAGTGGGTACGCAAACTTTACAATCATACAATTTCCAGCGGGCTCAGTTTTCTGACTATAAATGCTTATATCAATATCTACATGTGTCTACACACATGTGTTGTTTTCCTACCAACTGTTCGTTTCGAGAATGGCAAAAATATTCCTTAACTTTGATGTGTGCAAAAATACCGGCAATGAACGGAAAATACGAGCACGAGCATTTGCTTTCATACTACTCGCGATTCGGCGAGTTGCTGTTCTGTACTTTGCGTGGGTACAGTCTGGAGCCGGCTAAAGGCATGGAACTTGAATAAAATCCCCTTTTTTCAAATCATTAAACTAAATTTCAATTAATAATTTATTATAACTAATTTATCATAAGATAACAATATTTATTCTCGGTATATATTAATAACCTAACACTTTTAATTTTGAACATATTTTGAAACTGTTTAATAACGATGCTGTGAATGTTTGAAGGAATAGTTGAGGGTACGTTTTCGAGAAAAATCGAGAACTAACGAAGAACTAACGATTGGTATATAGATATAAGCATTTATAGTCAGAAAACTGTGCCCGCTGGAAATTGTATGATTGTGAAGTTTGCGTACCCACTTTGTATGCCTCGTAACTTTTTTATTTTTTGAGAACTAACGTTAATATTGGAGAACTATCGAGAACTAACGAAGAACTAACGATTGGTATATAGATGTAAGCATTTTTATTCAAAAAAGTGTGCCCGCTGGAAATTCTATAATTGTGAAGTTGGCGTACCCACTTTGTATGCCTCGTAACTATTTTATTTTTTGAGAACTAACGTTAATATTGGAGAACTATCGAGAACTAACGAAGAACTAACGATTGGTATATAGATGTAAGCATTTTTATTAAAAAAAGTGTGCCCGCTGGAAATTCTATAATTGTGAAGTTGGCGTACCCACTTGGTATGCTTAGTAACTATTTTATTTTTTAAGAACTAACGTTAATATTGGAGAACTATCGAGAACTAACGAAGAACTAACGATTGGTATATAGATGTAAGCATTTTTATTCAAAAAAGTGTGCCCGCTGGAAATTCTATAATAATTGTGAAGTTGGCGTACCCACTTTGTATGCCTCGTAACTATTTTATTTTTTGAGAACTAACGTTAATATTGGAGAACTATCGAGAACTAACGAAGAACTAACGATTGATATATAGATGTAAACATTTCTCATCAGGAAACGGCGTGCGCTAGAACCCGGAAGTGTGAAGTTAGCGTACCCACTTATTATCGGCTATAACTTTTTTATTTTTTGAGAACTAACGACAAAATTTGGGAACTATCAAGAACTAACGATGAACTAACGATTGGTATGATCAAAAGTGGATACGCTAATATGGGTACGCCAACTTCACGGACCTGCAAGAGTTTAGGGTTTGACAAAGGGGAATGGCAACAATATCGATGATGTTTTAGGATAACAGTAGTCATTCCATATATGTCGGGGCTGAGAGAGGTCTTGAAATGCCCTACTATGGTAACAACAACAAGGCCCTCTAGGGTAGTCTGCCAGGAAGAAAGTTTGGTATGAGGGGACTGTATGCCTGTTAAATTAGGCTCCTGGGGGGTAGGGGGTAAGTTAGGACTGTATAACTTAGGCTAAATCAATTCTAATAAAATCAATCTTAACATGTTCGCTACTGCAATAGTATGAAATTTTTCATTCACATGTACCAGCGACGCACATATGCGACGGCCGGTTTCTACCCATAGACTGCCTAGTCACATTAAAATAGACTGCCGTCGGATGTTTGCGTCGGGGTTATAATGTTATTGCAATGCTTTGTAACGGTTTATTTGAAGGCACTGAATTCCCTGCAGTGGTCTACAGAGATGTCTGAAGCACAACTGCGTCGCTTGGTCTGTGGATATGATGATTGGTGACGTCATATGATAGTTGGAAAAACTGGTCTTTACTTTTCTGCATCAATGTATGTATGTATGCAGTATGTATGCTGCATTATCCTATGTAGCTTTTATATTTGTTCAGTTATAAACTGTTCTTGAATAGGCCTAATCTGGGTTTTTTTTACTTAAGTTAGGCCTACTTTCATCTCAAAACACAAACAAAAATGAACTGTTGCATATAATGCTGCGTTTGGGCTATTTCAAGAAAACTATGATAATTTTCACTATTGTCTTCGCTGTAGACTGGGCGTCGCGGCTGCACTTTACTTGACGTCCTACACTCATTGATTGTTTTTTCGATTCGATATAGGCCTATCGTTCGGTTAGTTAGGTTAGGTTAACCTTACCTAACTAACCAAACGATATATCGAATGAAGCAATCGATTAGGCTAATCGATATATCGATCGATATTTTCATTCGAATGAGTGTAGGACGTCAAGTAAAGTGCAGCCGACGTCGCAAACATGCGACATTACAAAAGGTTATAAAAAATATAAAAAACAAGAATAAAATATTTACAAACACGATTGCAGCGTATTACTTAGGCTATAGTGTAAATGATCACTATTTTACAGATTTTCGCCCGTGGTCTGTGTGTACTGTAAACCAAGTGACAGCCGGTCTATGTGTAATATTCAAATGTAAAAGTTTACCTCGGTCTGTGGCAATGACCGTGGCGTCGCATTTATAGGCTACAACCCTCAGTAGCGAACGTGTTAGGCCTAATGTCAAATAGACCATTAAAATGGTTAATCTGTTGAATTACAGTTGTTGGACATTCCTCCAAAACATTTGACACTAAATAGGCCTAGTTCTAGGCAGGTCTCACAGACCTTTAACTCAATGCGTTAATTGATAATTTTCTAATTTAAGTTAGTGAATCACGTAAAAGCGAACATTTACGTTGAGGGTAGAGCCTAATCAACATTAGGAATAACAATTTAGATAATAAATTCTCACCTTGTCCAGCCAGACTAGGTTAGGGGGTTAGAGTAGTTAGTTAGTAAACAAAACTTAAACTTCTTGGTTCCCCGTTCCCCACTTCTTCCTCCTGTACTGCGTTGTGTGTTTTTGACCGTGTCCTGGCTCCTCTGTCTTCTCCTTTTACCTTCCTTTTATCGAATTTCCCATAGTTTCTTTAGTCCTTTTGCTTTTACTACTCCTTTCTCCCTCGTTCAATTGAAAACAAAAACAAAACAAAACAAAACAACAGGACAACGAATTCAGACTCCAGACTGGACTGGACTGGCAAATGGCAATGGACTCACTCGGACTCGGACTGATCTTGGTATCGATTCGTTACACTGTTCCTTTTTTTATTATTCAATGCAAAAACATGTTGTTTTTCTAATATCAGCTGGTTATATTCTTCAAACTCAAAACAAACAGACGATCTGTAGAGCATGAATGTCAGAATGTCAAATAACGTAAATAATCTAGGATAAGAATACAATCTCCTAAATTTTATATATCATTTCTATTTGACAAGGCAGTTCAATTTTCATTTAGCAGGATGTTTGGCCATTTATCAAAATATATTTGCAGCAACTGGGTAAATGTAAGTGTACTTAATTAAGCCAATTTCTTTTTCATCAAACAGTATTAACAGTGTAGTGAAGCTAATTTAAGTTACTGGTAGGCCTAGGCCTAGGCTGCACTTTACATCCTACAAACAGCCGAATGAAAATATCGATCGATACATCGATAACTCGATATATCGTTTGGTTAGTTAGGCAAGGTTAACCTAACCTAACCAAACAAACGATATATCGAATGAAACAATCGAATAATCGATATTTTCATTCGGTTGTTTGTTGGACGTAAAGTAAAGTGCAGCCTAGGCCTACATACCCTTAAAATTCAGATTATTAGTCTTGATTTATTGGTAATATATCTCGTGTTTGTTGGTATGTATCTTTGTGGTTGACACACTTCCTTCATTGACGTTTTGTTTTTATCTAAAATATTGTAACCAAGCATTTAACGGGACTGTCATATTTAGTAGACTATAGTTATTTGTTTAAACCCTAGTGTTGTTGCTACCAACCTCATAATGTTTACATAAAAAGCCCATTACATGATAGACGAATGACAAGTCAAAGTTAAACTAGCCTATTAGTGTTAAAAATAAGAGCTCTGGGGTACAGTTTCAATTGGTGTGAACCTGGCAATAACTCCAGCAATAATTAGTGCGCACGCCCTATAAAATCTATTGCTGGCCGTTTTGCGGGAAAATACGGCCGCGTAGGTTATTACTGAGAGTGTCAGCTCATAGAGGACACATTAACGGACATGACAGGATAAACATCATGTACTTGTACCTGGGGGTAAGTCAGCAATAAGTAGTGATCGCGCCCGAAAACATCTATGACCGGCCATTTTACGGAAAAATACGGCCGCGTAGGTTATTACCGAGAGTGTCAGCTGATAGAGGACACTTTTACGGACACGACAGTATTAATAATATGTACCTGGGGGGTAATTTAAGGGGGGTTAAGACCGCAATAAGTAGGCTATGCTAATATTGATTGAAACTATCGAATCGAAAATATTGATTGATAATCGATATTGGTTTTTAAATATATCTATTATTAAATGAAAGTGACATAACCTAACCTAACTAACCAAACTTGCTGATAATGAAAAAAAAAATTGCACGAAGGTTTACTTATCAAGTCGATAGTACGTTAGTTTAAATCGATATCAGCATAGCCCAGTTTAGAAACTGTACCCGAGCTCTGATTACCAGGTTACAGTAACCTATGGTATAAACTGTAAAATTGGTGTAAATCAGTTGGCAAATGAATGTATTAGGCCTACATTTCAATTGAATGGAAATCGGGTGGGTAAGATAGACTCACCCGTACAAACAACCGAATGAAAATATCGATCGTTGATTATTCGATTTAAGTAAGGTAAGGTTAACCTAACCTAATTAACCATACGATCTATTGAAACAATAGAATAATCAATATTTTCATTCGGTTGTTTGTGCCAATAGATACGGAAGTCTACCCAACCGGGTTCCAGGGAAAATTTTAACAATATAACTTAAAACAACTTTAAAGTTACGAAGACCATTCATTACATTTTCTTGAAGAGTATTTATTTCTTAGTTAAGGTTATTATTTTTTATAAGCCTCAGTAATCATAACTTATAAAAATGGGTTTATCAATACAATCTTAAAAAAGGAACATGGAATTATACATATTCATTTTTTAGGTTTTTCCACGGTCTACTCTTCTCAGAAGACAGCTCTTGCCACAAAACTGTCGAACACTTTCTGATCAGACGGGAAACCTAAAGATTCAAACTTCAGAAGCTAGAATTCGTGAAATATTGAGTAAAAGGTTTCCCTCTGCCGAGTACATAGAAGTAACAGATGCCTCTGGTAAGATAAATAAGCTTGTTAAATTTGTCGTCAGGTGCATTCAGTTTTTAGAATATTTCATTTTGAATTTATAGTTGACTCACTTTTAAAATGAACCCCCTTTTATTTCCTTTGAATTCAATGTACATCATAACACATCTGAAATGCGGAACATACAAAGGTAGGTATTTTAGGTATTTTAAGCCAAGTATGAATAGAGATAAGTGGCGCGATCTTGTAGTCTTGTTACTGACAAAGGCCGACATGTTCCTTGGACAGGACTGTTAATTAATATGCATACAGCCAATGCCAACTAAGGAACCTACACAGCACGTCTAATTATCAGGATAGTACTGCGGATAGTCGTAGTACTCACTAGTACTTACTCACTAGCGCAGACGTTAATCCACACCAGGGAGTATTGCATCCACAGATCATGCCTATAAATATCCACAATTCGTGACCTCAAAGTAGTTGGATTAGGATGACGCCACGGTCCCAGTCTAAATCCTTTACTCCTAGACTATTGTAGTAACTTTGATGCATTTCAGAAGTGACTGTAATTGGGGATTGTACGCAAACTGCTATTGCTGGAATCAAATCTATCCATCTAAATGTAACAGAGTTATTACAGTAGATCGCCTAATGGGATCAGACCTAGGTCGAATAACTCAAAAGGTCGATAAAAACAGGAATCGCTAGGGGCTCAAAAGCGCATTCTAAAAATCCGCAACGATGACATCATAGTTTAGTTCAAAATTCCTCCGTTAACAGCGTTGTAGTAGAGAGCACAGCGCGTAATTTTTACTTCACTATTTAATTATAAAATTAAGAAAGATTATAAAATTAATTTTAAAATGTTTCAATTATTAAATTAAACTGTCATAACCTAACCAAACTAACCAAACGTGCTGATAATGAAAAAATCGAATGAAGGTTTACTAATCTAAAAAATAGTTTTGTTCATAAAATAAAATTATAAATGCCTAAAATTCAATTTTATAATTTTCCTTTTAATTATAAAATTACTGTCATAACCTAACCAAACCAACCAAACTTGCTGATATGAAAAAAAAAATTGTTGACAAAAAGTTAGTGCTGCCAGCGGGATTCGAACCCAGTATCTTCGGTTTATCAGCTCGGTATGCTATCCACTACACCACCGAGGCCGATGACTGAATTCCGTATCATTGCGGTAATGGTGTTCCCTCAAGAGGAGATCTGACAGCTCTACTACAACGCTGTTAATGGAGGAATTTTGAACTAAACTATGATGTCATCGTTGCGGATTTTTAGGGTGCGCTTTTGAGCCCCTAGCGATTCCTGATTAAAACGGGCAATCCCTAAAAACATAACAATATGAAGGGCAATTCATTTGGAATTGTATAATCTTTATTTTGAAGTCGTACTTGCATTATGCATAAAATAAACTACACTTATGTCTTTTTTTTCACATCGATAGAAAAGTCACAAATAAACGTACAAAACACGGTTAAGTCAAATACTTTCAGCGGAATAAATTACAGTTGTAGGCAAAAGTCAATAAAAAAATCTTATTTTAATAACTTTAGTAGTGTACAGTAATATTAATTGATGCTTTCCAAATCTATCGTAATACATTAAAAATTATCTTTAATATCGTCGAAAATTTAAGATTACAAGCAACCATTTTGTTACCAACAATTTGTGTTGTTAGTTTACTCCAGCGATAACATAATTCTAGATGATTATATTACAAAAATAGCAGCTGTTTGAAGAGGCATACAATTTTTTTATAAATACAAAATAACTTAGGCTATTCTTAGTCACATCCTGTGGAGATAAGCGTATGGTTCCCATCGCCGAGCGTGAAATGCCAAGATTCCCAGAAAGCGGCGGTTAAACAGAACTGCTCTCAAAGCAAGGTCGGTTAAAACAAACTGTAATATTTTACAATTGAAGGAGGATAATCCGATTATCAGTTAATGCGAGGTCGCTTAAAAGGAGGTCCACTGTGGTTCTAAACTTTAAAGAACGGAAGCTATTTGTATTTCGATAATCACAGAAATAATGATCATATACAACGAAGACTACCTTTGTAACATGGTCTTTAAATGGTTATTTAAGTCATTTTAGGTTAAAATAACCTGTGGTAACTGTCATCTGTACTAGTTCTTCGGGTTGCAACCACTTTTTTAGCCTGTCGGCTCATTTTTCAAATAGAAACTAGAAGTTACAAAAATGTTCCTCTTCAATGTTGGATATCAGAAGTTGTCACATACGGACATCAAAATAGCAATTTTTGTTAGCATTTAACAATAAAATAACTATTTTAATTCATCAACAATTAGGATAAACATATTTGTAATTTTTGTGTTCCATTAAATCACATCATTGTTTGAAAAAAAATGTATCCACAGTAAGTATAAATCCTCTCTGATTTTCTTTCCGAGCCTAATTATAATCATCTTACAATGTCAGGTATCTTTTGTAAGGGCTCTAGGCCTGAATAGGTTTTACGGCATAATCTCGATAACAAGACTCTCATGGGGACAGTTAAATGAAGCAATGTGTTGTTCAAAGGTTTATTGCGGCCATTTTCCATCACGATTGTAAAAAACAATACACAACGTTTCGGGATCTGGAATCTGATCCCGTCCTCAGGTGAAAAAACTTAACTAACACATTACAGCTAACAATACACAAACGCCCAACCTAAGTTGGAATACACTACAGAGGGTAGCAGTCAAAAAATATGCACTGTATAGCTCAGTCAAGTCATGATACAACATGCAAATAATAACCAATCACAAAACAGTAAAACCAACAAAATGGCGGTTAATTCTGTTTATTCCTATCACGAGTTTTACTAAGAATTAATATAACATGCGAATTTTGAGAAGAACTCGTTATTTCTATATTTATTGTTCTTTTATCTATTTAGTTCTCCTCAAATTTCGCATGTTACGTTAACTCGTAGTAAAACTCGTGATAGGAATAAACAGAATTAACACCCATCTTGCGGCATCGTACATCGCTCCGCCATTTTGTTGGTTTTACTTTTCCACCGGAAGCCATTTCTGTTGTCTCCGTGTTTCCGATTGGTCGGCCATGTTGCTTCAGTATCATTGGTTAAGTCATTGCGAACGGTGCTATTAGTGTTCCATTGTGTGAGCTTTTTAGTTACACCTTTTATAGATTATAGTGTTTTGTAATTGGTTATTATTTGCATGTTGTATCATGACTTGACTGCTATACAGTGCATATTTTTTGACTGCTACCCTCTGTAGTGTATTCCAACTTAGGTTGGGCGTTTGTGTATTGTTAGTTGTAATGTGTTAGTTAAGTTTTTTCACCTGAGGACGGGATCAGATTCCAGATCCCGAAACGTTGTGTATTGTTTTTTACAACCGTGATGGAAAATGTCCGCAATAAACCTTTGAACAACATTAACTCACAGGGCCGGATTTACCTTTATGCCGCCTGTAGGCTACAAGTCCTCATGCCGCCCCTTATATATGTACATATTTACTGCTGAAAACATATTTATAGGAAAATTACCCCCGCTCTACCTCGTGGTAATATTTGGTTATTCATGCGCACAGACTAATTTTTGCCGATCTGCACGGTACCGCTCGGTGGTCGGCGATCGAAAATACACGTGCAAACATAAAATATAACCTACGAATACTATTACTATATAATCATACCAATCAACTCCACCTGTATACTATACAAAATAACATGATATTACAAAATGAAATGAATGAAATGTATCATATTACAAAATATCATAAATATTTGGATTTATAATGTTAATGTTACGTCAAATAAAATACATTTGAGATCATTCTAATATATAAGAAATGTATACATTTCTGTGCTACCGTATTGAATATCTTTTAATAGTGGAAAATTGTTAAATTAAATTTAGATAGTTCTGCAAGGTGAAATTTAAGTTGACGAAATTATTTGAATCACTGGTTTATTAGTTGAAATATTTACAACGACAAAAAAACTTTGTGTATAGTCCAATACAAGTACTTCATTGAGTGATTAACAAAACCGACTGACTGTATGGTAGTGTAAGTGTCAGTGGTGGGGAGGGGGCTGTCGGCTGTCACGTCGGCGTCGTGGCTGCCGCTCCTGGTCGTACATCCACCAGCTGCAGCCCGCCTGAGAGTCGCCAGCTTCCAGTGTGGCCAACACCAGATCGCCGCTCGCTGCGTGTTGGCGCAATGCGATTGTACATATTAGATTGTGTAATAATACGTATGTCGAAATAGAAAATAAGAATGTATGAATATTCTAAAAGCTTTATTTAAATGACATGTATACTTGAATTTGTAAGGAAAATAATATTGCACGTAAACAAAAATTATTTTAATGTTTTTAATCTGCCGCCCCTAAATTTTGCCGCTCTAGGCTGCAGCCTACTTAGCCTATTTAGAAATACGGCCCTGTTAACTCACCATCACCAACAATGAACTTCAAATAAATAAAGCAACTTGTTATCGAGTTTCCTCTTTATACATGGTCACCGACCACTTTGTCAATAATAAAGAATGGAAAGTTACAATTTGACAATTGCAAGACTAAGTGGCATAAGTAGAAATGATAACTTCATTCTGTATGTGCCTTCCGTCAAAGTCTAGACCTACACCTGCCACCATGTAGTAATGAATGACAGTCTGTATGGCCATGCGTTTTATAATTGTTATTTGTGTTTATGTGATAGATTCTAAGTTTAGCTTGACAATGATGCCACAGGCGTCAAAACCGGTTGCCTTATAGACATCAGAATTACTTTGACGGAAAGAAGGTAATTTAACGTCTTATAAGATAAACCTATCTATTTACAAACCTTCGTCTCGCACGGGACAAATGAAAGTGACAAAGTGATGTTGAAATATTTTAATTTTGTTCATGTTTAAAATGTGTCTCCTACTGAGAAGACTCACCCACTGTAAAGAAGCTATTAAATTTCAAGTTATTTCAAAATACGAGGCATGTTTTTTAAGTAAGTACCGTTTAAAAATTTCTCTGCTCTAGCGCTGCGATTGGCAATTTTGACATTTGCGCTGTGTACATGCATCTATTGGCAAGACTGCGCCGGAAATTCGGCAACAATCGGCCATGTTTACATCTGGTTTCGAGCATTTGAAATTGTGCCGCCAATTGAGACTGCCGCCGCCTGTGAAGTGCACGCTGTAGTTTGATTTTTAAGTGCTAAAGGTGTGAAAGCCATTTAAATTCATCGACAGATTAGTGAAGAGTTTAGTGAGAACAGAATTTAATTTTGGGTTCATTGTGAGCGAGTTAAAGTCATTCAACTGTATGAATACTTTGTGTTGAATTTGGATTGAAACTGTTTGTTTTCAGGTGGCTGTGGAGCAATGTATGAAATAGCAGTGGTTGCAGGTGAATTTAAAGGACTCACTATAGTCAAGCAACACAGACTAGTCAATGAGGTAGTTTATTATTGTTTATTGCATTTCAAAACGTAAACTAAGCCACGTTAACAAGATTGTTTGGTAGTTTTGTCTTACAATGATAACATGATGAATTGGTCTCTGGAGCGTCAAGAGTTACCAAAAATATGATTAAGCTCACTCAGTGGCGGTCCCAGGGGGGTTGGGAGAGATATATCCCCCTCCCCGAAATATATTCTATTTTATTAGCTAACATACTATTAGCTTGAGCATATTAGAGTTCAAATATGTATAAAAATATGTTTTTAGGATTTCAATTCCACATTTTTCCAGGGGATATTCCACAGCCCCAAGAAACAAAATTATCTTTTGCCGGCCATCTTGTGTCATAATGTGTTTGATAAGCGATCAAAAATTCGTTTTCTTTCATTTGTCTTTGCAGTTTGTGTCTTTTTTTGACATCACAAAAAAACATCCTTCATCAAAATTAAATGCCGAATTGCAAAATTTGGAGGCTTTTTTATTTAATTATTATATTTCAAATTAGTTATCAAAAATTATTTATTAGGCCACTGAGAGTAAGGTACAAAAGAAACATCCACACTTAAATGGTGCCTAAGTGGCTGGTGTCTAGGGAAAAGTCCAACACCACCCCCTTGCCGTCCAATGCCCCCTATAATGCTCACGGTGGAGGAAGACCCTTTGCGACAGGAATTTCAGCAAAGTGTACACTGCTCAGGCCTTGTTTGTCACAACATACTAGAGGAAAGGACACAGTCTTCCCATAAGCATGTTTCCTCCTCCATATCAAACTTCTCTGTGATTCAGGTTACACAGTTTTTTCTTAAAACCACAGCCGCCTTTAACTACATGCCGTGGCCTTATATGATTGGCAAAATCACAAATGGTGTTGTTTAGTGACACGTCCCATAAGATAACATAGCAGACAGGTGACATCAGCTCATTAATTCGCACTTTATTGATTTAGATTTAAATTTATGAACATAAATTTATTAAAATATTGAAAATAAAATATACAGAATTGAAAACCAACACAATATGAATTAAAAATCGATATCTGTACATTTTAAGTGGAGTCAATATTGTCATAGTCCAGTAACCAATCTTTCGTAAATACACAAATACCATTAGCTTCTTCCAAACAAAACAGCTGTTAAAACACCACTTGTGACGTTGCCACTTTGAAGGCCGCGGCTTGGAGTTAAAGGTGGCCGTGCTTACAACAGTGATTCAAATTAAATCAATGCAGCTTAGCTTGTATTGTCTAAGCTGTTGGCATGTATGAATAAATAAATTTACTTCATGATTTCCATTTGGTGGTACAAATAAATAAGAGATATACATATATCTTAGCTTGTGTGTATGTTTTTTTTTATTGTTTCATGTTTTAGGCTTTGAAAGAAGAAATAAAAGACATGCATGGACTTAGGATACACACAGCATTGCCAGGAAATCCTAGTTGACACTAAAATGTCACATTTATTTGTCGGACAAACAATTACGAAGTCGTTAAGAATGTTATCTGAGCTATTGTGACAAATTAAATTATTGAGATATGTAATTTTAATTTGTTATTTTTATTGACCCCTCCTATACTGTTTTGATTGACACAAGAAAATTTTGCTTCTGGGTTTTAAGCCCGAGAACAGAAACGTTGAAAATGTACAATAACAAAGTGCACTCCTATTGCTTGTAAATAAAGTATAATAGTTCCAAATGAATGGTAAGTATTTAGATTGAACTAAATTTTGCTTAGCTTCATTCTGCATAAAAGCTGAGCAATGTTTTTTTTTTATTATTTGCTGTCCTGTAGTGTGCAGATGTCAAATTGGTTTTACTTCTACATTGTTTTTTCTGACCTGTGCACATTTGCCATTTCACACTGACTGACAAAGAATATCAAAATATGAGTAACTTATCAAACAGCAGCACACACTCTGGTGTTACCTAATGTCAAAAATAGTACCATAATAATTATATACATAATGTCAAAACAATATCAACAGGAAGTACAAGATTAAATGCTCTTTGAGGTAATCAAAACAGTTTATATTTACATTCTGTATAAGAGCTTAACAGACAAATTCTTAAAATAAGGTAAATAGCTTAGGATAAAATTAAAAGTTTACTAGAAAAAAATCAAGTAGAATCAAACAACATTATGCAAGATTGACACACCTAACCGCAAAAAGGAACAATGTATGCAATAGCAAATATTTTAATAATGTGCCTGGCTTTGACTCATCTGCCTACTATATATATTTTCAAGTAACGGAAATGAATTACTGTACGCATGAAGACTTAAGGTTGGTAATATGTACAATTACGTATATTAAGTGTGATGGGTATCCACATGAAACTTCTTCATGGAGATTTACTCAGTCTACTCATAAAGGCCATTCCATGGATACGAAAATGTTTATCATGTGATAGCTTGCTGCCAAAAACTTCGAAACACACTGGACATTGGTTTTCTAGTGTTTCTTCTTCAATCGAGGAGCTAGCTTTTTGCGGTAAACTAGCTGTATTATTCTGTGTATAACTATTAACATCTTTTATGCCGTGGTGCATCTGAAGATGGGTTTCCAGAGAGGGTAAAACTACAAAACAAAGTCCACATTCGAGACACTGGTATGTGTTTGGGTCAGTTCTATGTATCGTGATGTGTACCAGAAAAGATTCTCTGTCCTCTGAGACAAACTCGCACTTTGAACACTTGTGACACAGCTCGTTGAGTGATCTTGATTTTATTACTTGGCCTTGGATATGAGTTTGACCTTGTACACTCCGTTTGTCTTTTGGTTTCTTTCGACTTTTCTTTTTTGGTGGAGAGTCAGCAAGAGGGTCTTGTGAAAGTTCGTTAACCGAACTGTCGGGAGATGTAATGCTAGTTCTTCTTTTCGCGGTGAAACTTTTTACATCATCGGAGCTTGATGATCTGTAGGTACTTAGTTTTCTAGATTTTGGACGACTTTTTGAATTTCTTCTGGATGAAAAAGATTCTGTTGAGCTATTGTCGTCTATTGGTTTTACACACTGCTTGCAGCATAGTGACTGATTGTTGAGGTCAATTCCCGGGAGTAAGACAACAGAATTTTTCTTACATACGATACACAGCTCCGTTGTTTTCTCTTTGACTTTCTGTTCCTGGGTACATTCCCAATCGTCCAAACTCAGCGGATCTTTTTCATCCACAGATTCAGTTTCAGGATATCTTCGAATAATAACGGGTTCTTCAACTAGATCTGTATCCGAGTCTGAAACTTGCATATCTTCTTCTGGAGGATTAGCTTTGTCAGTTATAGACTTCTCCATCTTATCTTTTTTAGCTTTTTCTTTGATCTGGTGTATTATAAAAGCCATCTTGTTAGCGTAGACGATATTACACATTGAACATTTGTACCCATAAATCATTGAATTGGAGTGTTCTTTCGCATGATCTATATAGCTTTCCTCAGGTAAGAGCTTTTTGGGACACATGTCACATTGTTTGTAGTCCAATCCTACATCTGCTGGGTCTGGTTCATTGGGATGGTCATGGAAAATGTGTTTCAACAGTGAATTTCTTTTGTAGAAAGCTACAGGACACAAACTGCATTTAAAAATATCTTTGCCGTGATGTGTCACTATGTGTTCCGTTAGCCCGGCTCCAGTTGGAAAATGTGCTTTACATCCTAAGCAAATAAAACGTATGCATTTAGCAAAATGTCCACAAGAAAATTTTAAATGGGCATAAAGTTCATCCCAAGTCGTGAAATCCTTGCCGCAATCTGGACACTTGTACGGTGGAGTTTTCATATGAATTCTAGTATGAATTTTTAGCGCACATTTCGACGGTAATATAAGTTGGCAAACATTACACGCAAGATCCAACCGCACGGGTCGACCAGTTCCACTTAAATGTTTAGTGATATTTGCACAATAAATCAAACATTCACTGCAGGTTCGTTTACTAGAATTACTAGGAAGTATGCATTTAATTCTTTTACCATTCTCCTTATTTCTTGAATTAAGAACCGGTGTAGGAATACTGGAAGACACCGAACTGTCATCAACGTCAACAAGTTCTTCTTCTTCCTGTTGGTTTGGCACAGCATTATCATCGTTGACAATTTCACTATCATTAGTTTCCACTGCAGCAGATGAGTTATTTAATATCGTATCTACGTCACAAACAACATTTGGAGGTACAATATTGACAGCAGATTTCCCCATGACATTTTGTGGCTGGTTCAGTTTATTACAGAAGAGGATAAGACTCTTCATGTTGGAAGCAGAAGATTCTTTGGTCTGATTCTGAACTTGAGACTTGTTGACTAAGGAAACTGATTTCACTGGATTTGCAGGTTTAGGGAGGATGGGCGTTATGGTCCTACCTGAACACTGCTTGTTTTGAGATGTCAATGCTTTGATCTTTTCATTTAAGCTCAAGCCTTGATTGACAATTTTTGATTGTCCAGACACACCCGGCACTGGTTTCAATATCGAGTTGGCCACATTTAGATTTACAGCAGGTTGAGGTTTATCATAGATCATTGATTTATTTGAGTTCAAGTCGCCGTCCTTGAAAAATGCTGTTACAATTCCTTTCTCTACCATTTCCTTCGCAATAGGAGTGATTTGAACAGAACTCATATCAATTTGCTTCATAGACATATTATGGCTCCGCAAATGGATAGATAAAGAGCATTTGTTGAAAAACTGGAAGCTGGCCTTGCATATTTGACACCAATAGCCAATACTGATGCTGCGCCTCTCAACGTGGTTGGACAAACTGGTCTTCAGTAGAAACCTAAAGAAAAGAAAATGAATTATTACCATCCCTGCCACATACAATCAAGAAAATATACGATCAGGTTTTCCTTCTATTAAATTCATCTATTCTTTACAGGCTTCGGATTATCTCTGTCTAATCTAAAGCCAAACGATCTATTCTTTATTAATCACATAAACATCATTATTCATCAGTAGTGAATCACATACTGCAAAATGCTACAAGTCTGATTTCTCAGTGATGTAATGCAATTAATAGATAATACCTAAATCTAAATAAATTGCAAGATTTAGAAACTTGAATTTCAAATAGGCAGTCCCTATTAAATGAGGTACAGTAAAACCTTTTAAATTTCTTGGAATTAATTTAAATGCAAAATCAGATTGGAAGTATCACATTGACATAACCTCAACCAAGCTGTCGAAAGGTATATACTACTTGTGGAGATTAAAAGGTTGTACAACACAAGATGTTTTGATAACAGTGTATTGTGCACAGATACATAGAGAGTTACGGAATATTGGCGTGGGGTTTCCAATCATACACCAAAAAGTTATTTAAATTGCAAAAAAAAGGCAATAAGGCTTGTAAGTTGTATAAGCTCTAGAACTTACTGTAAAAATGTAAACCTATATTTAAAAATATTAACTTTTACTGCAATATATATCCTGCAAGTTTTGTTGTATGTCAAAAATAATTTAGAAATTTTCTCAGATAATTCAAGTGAACATAATTATTAATTATGAAACTGTAGTATATTTGATGATTTTATGTATTCAATATTATATTTGTAAAACAGCGTTTCTTGTAGGAAACCAGATTTGAATAAAATGTAAGTGTGTGTGTACATCACGCCACGTCTGTGACGTCATATCAGGTGATTTTTAATAAATTCCCATTGGCTGCCACGACCACGCTATACCCGTGCATCTAACCACTACGTCAGTCCGTCCTAGTCCTGCAATCGTACACCTTTATCCCGGTCCGTGCAGCCCGTGGTGTTAACTAATTATGTAGTTTTTATTTCTCACTAGTCCCGTCTCCTGTCAAGTTAAGACGTCGTCACACCGGCGACGTCACAGAAACCAGATTTAAAAACAACTAAGGCCTACAGACAGTGCTCCGTAAATACTCAAAGATCAAACAAACATTCAATACATGAACAATTTCAAATAAAAAATAGAAACATAGGCTATTTAATATAAAAATGTCCATATTAATTGGAGGAATCTCAAAATATTTCTATTTAGTTGTGCCTGTATTTTTCAAATTTTAGTTCTTATCATATGGGTTAGATGTAAGTATTCATTTGCTGAATTAACGCATTATGTATTTCTTGACAACTGTTAATGCATTGTAAAATGTCTACAACAGTAAGTAAATGGTTTTGATTGATCGATTGATGGATTGACTGATATAGCCTCTAGATCTGATAATATCCATGGAAGGTCCACTTCTCTTGTCCGACTCTGGATCAACATTCACTCAGAATTGCCTTTGTCTGGGCAAAAATGGAAGTTGGTTTATCCACCCTAAATTATTAAACTGGTTGTTTTAACCAACCATTTTACAATATCTTATCACAGTAATAAAATAGAATTATCTCTGTGCAGGTTTAGTCAAATCTTAACTTTTCAAGTGAATGTTAGAGCTTGTCCTAATTACATAATTAGCCAATTTTATTGAGTTTTAATTCCATATTTGTGTGTATTAATAAAATTAACACAGTCCTTATGATCAACCAATTCAACTTTATGTGTGTTTTAGAGGATTTCACTATAGGGAAGTAGGCCTAGTTATTACCCTAAGTGGCACAGTAAGACCTACGCCCTGGACTCTAGAAAACACGATTTGTTCAAATTGTTATATATGTGTTGGTGAATGTGATAACTCAAGTAATTTTTGCCTGATTTTGATCAAATTTGGCTTAAGAGTCCACCGCTTGGAGGCTAGCGGCCATCTTGGATAATTTCAAACAGCTGCTGAAGAGTTAATTATTAGCCAAAAATAGTTTTTCAAACACCAACGTGATTATAATTTTAATATCTAGTATACTGTGAGATTAGAAATTTTCGTTGTTGTTTTGGAAATTGATTTCCAAGGGATTCCATGGAAGCCAACGGCTATCTTGGATTTGCTCGCCATAAGACGAATGTTAATTTCATTATTTTCAAACAGCCGCTTAAGAGTTATTTACCATCTCAAAATATTTTTTCGAATACCAAAGTGATTGTAATTTAAATATCTAGTATACTGGGGGATTAGAAATTTTCTTTGTTGTTTTTTTATTGTTTAATGAGTTAGAACGTCATTTGAGATATCCGTGTTTAATTAATTTGTACCTATGGTATAAGAGTGTTTAAATGTTTTTTTTTCACAGTAGATTTAGAGATTCAAATTTTTTTATGTATTCTTGCCCCGTTGCGAAGCAAGGGCAGAACAACTAGTAACTATAATACTACTTACTTGTCATTACAATCAATACACGTGTAAGTCGGGTGTTCTGGGAAAGTGTCTGGTGCTGTATAGGTCTTCATTGGGTTGTCAAACAGAGTTTTCTTAAGCATATCAGTGACAAAAGGAATGACATTGTTTTTTATCTTCTGAATCACTTTAGGGTTAGTCGGTGGCATCATAGGTTTCTGCACTTTCTTAGCAACAGTCACCAGTTTGGCATTTTTTGGTAACATCAACGTTTGGGAATTTGCACTTTTGTTTGAGTTTTGAAACGTAGCAATTGCCGGCATAGATGGCTTCTGCCCTAGTGACGCAGCCGTCACCACATATCTCAGGTCTGAGCTGTTAGCGATCGTCTGAGTAGGTGTGTTTACCAAGTACGGCAGAGATGATGTGGTCTTGACATAAACACACCTCATTCGTTGGCCTTGATTGTTGAAAAAGCCTGAATGGGGAACGGCTATTTTGTTTATCTGTATCGTTCCTTGAGTATCGTTCAGAGGTCTCAATTGGTTGTAATTAGGAATCTTTGGGGAGAAATTATTGTTTATAGGATTTTCATTTGTCTTCTTCGGTTGTTCTGACTGTGAATCACTAGTAGTACATCCGTTTTCTGACAGACTGTTGAAGACATGGGTGGATATGTGAGCGATATTCTTCACAGATATCCTAGGCAATCGGTTTTCTGGCTCTGGTGCAGGCTTCTTCACAGTCATTCCAATCTCAGCCATCAGATTTGTCTCCATTACAGACTTCAATTCGTCATCAATCACCTCATTCTCGGTCGCATCATCTTCTTCTAAAAAGTCGTCCACTTCACTATCACACAGATCAATTATGCTGTCTTTACAATTACTCGACAAAATCGTCTTTAAAATAGGTACATCTACCTTACTATCACCAGTGTTCTGATCTACAGTTTTATCCGACCCACATTCAGTATTTGTTTGTGCACTTTCATCCTCCTTTCGTGACTCTGCAACAGATTGTATATAATTTCTCCCGTTTTTATCCAAGCCGGTTTCAATTACTAGCACGCTCATTTTATTGTTGGAGACAACTGAACTGGTTGGAACCATGTTTGATGATGGAGTGGTATTTGTGTTGGTGTCAACATGAGAGTCTGGTGGTGGTGGAGGTGTGTTATGAACAGTTTCAGTTTCGTTAACAAGACTTTCCTGAGAGTCCTGATCTCCACTTTCTTCTGGTGAACTTAGCTCTTCCTCACTTATTAAGTCCTCCTGTAAATTACAAAAAGATTTTAGATTATATAAAATGTCATAATTAGAACAAGTCATTGATCTAGCTTGGTATATAGCCTAAGTTTAAAAAAAATCTACTTCAATAGTGAGTGGCCTAAATCAGATATTGACCAAATAGATTTTTTCACTACTACTTATATCCATTACTAAGAAAATCATGATTATTTGTAACAAATTAAATTTGTGCGTTGAAAAGGTCCTGCTATAAATATCACTTAACCCTTCACGGACGGGTGACGGATATTTCCGCTTATGGTTTTTTATGTTCCGGATGGGAAGCGGATATATCCGCCTTCTCTTCAGACAGACTGCCAGACTGGCAGGTGCTTGAGCAGTAACTAGATGTTTCCCGGTACCAAGGCGCCACTTTCCTGCTCTCTCCGTGGCTACGCTCTCTCCCGCACTCCCCCCTCTCTCCGGCACCTGCCCGTCTCCCACGATTCCCCCTCTCCCGCGCACCACCCACCTCTCCTACGCTCCCCCCTCAACGTTTCACACTCAACACTATGTTGTCTTTATTTATTGTTTACATATTGTTCTTTATTTATGGCCTAACGTTGTCATGGTCATATCTTCAAAGACGGGTGGCGGATATATCTGCATAGTTAAAAATGAGTACAAAATTATTTTGACAGTATGAAGTGTTCCACTTTGTTTATTTTATGTATACTTGTATAACAAAACACAAATAAAAAGAGAATTAATTTTTATTTTTTCCTTTAATTTTTTTCTGTTCTGTGTCATGATTTTGCCCGTCCGGGAAGGGTTAAATTGTGTAACTATTCTATTTCAAGCAGTGGAATTAACTTGCTCGATTTTAACTTGTTTAATTCAAAAACTTCTTAAACTAAGAATTTTCCTCTCAGTCTCCAAATCTGTCATATAACCAATGTCCATGGACAATTCAAATATAATTATAATTTTTCATCCATTTATAAATGGCGACTATGGTTTAAGATGAATTCACAAAAAAATGGCATCGGAACACCGCACGGTGTTGTAATGCAGCATAATTCTGCACTCCGCATAACCTAGTCAAGGTCTATTGTTTTTTCCTCTCCTACCATCCTAACATTGCCTCACAGCCCACAATTACCCTGCCAACCCTTGTATACCTACACTGTAAAGTGTTAAGATACAATAAGCCCTTACATTTACTGAAACCTTTCTGGAACAGTATTGCCATCAAGTAGTACTTAACAATTTACCAAAATTATCTAATTTGAATGTTCGGATAGGCCTAGTATGAATACTATTACTGGTCCCTTGGTGTTTGAACTTCCACTGTAGGCCTCGTTAAAAAATCAATGAATCTTGCTTTCAGATTGTGCCACACTACTTTAACAATAGCTTACCAATGTTTTAAAAAAAGTAATATTATGCTTTTATTTAAACTCTATTCAGTAGCATCAACTAAAATGTCTATTTAGAAAAGTAATGACATAAAACAAATTTAAAGCATTTTTTTGAATTCCCATTGTGGCTCTTTCATTCCAACAGGCCTAGAGAAAATGTGTTTAGTAAGCCTAGCTTTACTTATTTTTGAAGTAGCGGATGATTGATTACCTGATAGGCAAATTGCTCGTTCATTGCGGCATCTATCATGTCTTCTGTGAGGACATAGGAGGATTTCTCCTCAGCAGGTATATTGGCTATTGTCTCACACATCATTGTGCTCATCTGTAACGACACAAAAACGTTTAACTACCTACCTAATTGATCAAATAATGTTCTTTACTTGGCCGTAGGTAAACATATAAATGCATTGGCTATGTCAGTATATATAGGCCTACAGAAGATCTTGCAAAAATAATTGTAGTGACACTAAAGACACAGTTAAACCTTATTAAAAAGAACTTCTCTAAAATGATTACGGTCCCCGGTTATAATATAATAGGTTACCTTCTGACCAATTTTAGAGAGATCATAAAATTACTAAATTAGCTACTTGAAAAAGTACCTAGAACAAAAAGGATGAAGGGGTACATGATCAGAGGTTGAATTGAAAAATAATTTATCGTTTCTAAATTTTGTGTTGTAGTTTTGTTGTTGAATTGACGATTATTATTACACAGCATAATTTTTTTTTAGCCATGTACGTTCCAGCATTTTTTAAAGGCCCATAAGAGTGTTATTTTATTATGAGGTAAGGGAGATATGAAAAATATCACCCACAACAAAGAAAATAAACAGGCTAATTTAGAATATGATATATTTTGAGTGACATATCAGTGGCGGCTCCAGGAATAATTTTTTGGGTAGGCCTGACAAGGATCAAGAAAGGGTTTGTTGGGGGACGAGAGGTTTAAAGGGCTTTCCCCCTAAAAAGGCGGGAATTTTAAAATTTAAACGCAAAATAATGAGTATGAGTGCTTTTCCTTTATTTACATATGAATAAATTTCTATATTAATCCATAATTTTGAAATTTCTACTAAAATTTTAGGTAGGCCTACCTGGCCTGCCCTCTGGAGCCGCCCCTGTGACATATGGCTTTTGATCTGTAGTATGGATTTTACATTAACTGACAGCACAATCATCTAGTTTTCAACTTTAAACTAGGCTTTGCATAGCCTAAATAAAAAATAAAAATTGTTTAATCAGATAGTTAATTTTTTAGTTAAGTTTGGATTTGTCGCTTTTGTCTATGTGGCAACATGAATAACAAACGTTATAATTAGGCTACATTATCACTAACTGACACATGAATCTTACCAAGTTATTTAATAATGGTTGAAAAATTATCTGAAGATCAGAAATCTTCTTGAGCTGTTGTTACTACATTATCATCATCTACTACTCCATTGATAAAGGTTCTTCAATAAAACCTAAAAAAGATAAATATCAGTAAATTTCAAATAAAGGATGGTTTGCTATCGAAAGTAAATAATGAAATATATTAACCACAATTTATTTTCACACCAAACAACCTCTAGAATCATCCATTTTATAATTTATATTTACTCAAATTACAGCTGATTTGAAAAACATTGTTGATGGATGTATAGATTTGCATTACTGGCCAGCTGACTAAGTCTGTGAATCCACTTCTATACTTATTTTTGTTTCTCCAAGACCTGTTGAATATCCAGTTCACAGACTGGATTTTCAAAAGGCCAGACCTATAAAAAAAGAGGTTTTAATTTGGCATTTGTACCTCGTATGGCACCATAATATGAGGAATAGTCTTAATTAAAGGTTTCCTGCAACAGAAAGATACTACTTAATCGACTCAGACCAAAGGGCTTTCAATGTAGGTAAATAGTAACGGTACATTGAGACCACACTTTTACAAGAAAGCTATTGTTCCTACTTAGAGATAGGCTACAGTAACTATTGAAATTTTTATTTTACGATCTGATCCAGATGAGCTAAGCCTTATCGTGGTGAATATGAGAATGTTGTCTGATGTTTGTTATTAAGATATTGCTAATACAATGCTACCACCATCTTTCCATATCTTAGAAGCAATTGACAATAGAGATACGGTATTTAAAGAGTCTGAAAATGACCCAAACCGTGCTTCACAACAGGACAATTTGGAATGTGCAAAATTTGGACCTGAATAAAGCAGACTGAAAGTAGCTTTTTCAGCTTGTATATAACCTACTGGAGTAATCCTGTTTGTTCCTTTTCAAATCATAGGTTTTAGAAGTTAATTTTGTTTTTCACATACTTAAAAACACCCTTATCATTATTTCATTTGTAAGAGGCTGTCAGAACAAATAGTTATTTATTTTCACAAATGCTGACTAACTTAGTCATAAAGCAACTGAAATTGAAATGTGTAACACTGGTTGGAATTGTGTCCTATAATTGACTAGTTTGGTTATGACTTTAGATGCTTTAGCTGATCAGTTAATGGACTTTGTATTCTCTCATTGATTTTTTCTACACAGACAAATCGTTTTATTTTGTTTCCTATTAAATGAAGTAGCTTTGAGCCATAATCAAGACTTATCAAGAATAATCAAGAAAATAATCATAAGATGAAAAACCATAGTGAAGAATTCATTTTATTTTTTAAATGAAATTAATTAATCATAACCCACCTTTTCAAGTGAGACTAACTTAAACCCATCTCTTTACGTAGTATGAATGCCATGGATTATTTAGTGATATAATTTTACAAACATTAATTATGTTTCATTCATTATTTTGCCTCCTGAACTGTTATTCAAAGTATTATCTAGGTTACCTACCTTATACAGTCAAAATAGTTCTGAATTCAGTCACTAAAGGACGATGCGCATTTCAGAGCTTTTGAGCTCTATCTTCAGGTCCGTGGATACATTTATCAATCCATCTTGCAGATTCGTCAACATTTTTAACCATTAAAAACACATAACCCTAACACATAATTCATCACATTTATACAGGTACATGTGCCGGCCGGCTATAGATACCGGAGTCACAGTCACAAAATGTTGACGAATCTGCAAGATGGATTGATAAATATATCCACGGACCTGAAGATAGAGCTTAAAAGCTCTGAAATGCACATTGTCCTTTAGTGACTAAATTCAGAACTGTTTTGACTGTATAAGGTACGTAGCCTAGATAATTATGTTTCTCCCTCATTTTATAAAAAATAGAAATCAAATTTATTTTTAAACAAATTTTTATTTGACATACAAACATAAGGACTAAGGATAAGCAAAAAGTCGCAAAATTCCTGTTAGCTTTGGACAACGTCTTTGATCGGACTTCAAGTCTAACGCACCAAAAGCGATGGACAAAAAAGCTCAACCACTTTCCAGTGTTGGTGTGAATGTAGGCTATGATCCTACCTATGATCGAACTGTGATTTTTAGAACAAAGTGATTTTACTTATTTCATTTTCACTAGATTACATCAAAATGAAAATGGATTTTTTATATTGGGAAGACTTCCGAATCTGTTGGCACAAACAACCGAATGAAATTATCGATCGATATATTGATTATTCTATATATCGTTTGGTTAGTTAGGTAAGGTTAACCTAACCTAACTAACCAAACGATATATCGAATGAAACAATCGAATAGTCGATTGTTTCATTCGGTTGTTTGTGCCATCAGATACGGAAGTCTACCCTTTATATTATTTCCGAGCAGGTTGTTTCCTGAAGCTGAATATGATTATGTATGGTATATCAGTACCTATCAAATTTTTCAATGGCTCCAAAATGATTATTAAAAGTGTTTGAAATGGTCAAGGATTTTACAACAGTAGCCTATTCTAATTTTTAGAACAGGGATGGTAGAACTATTAGTCCTATTCAAATTTGTTCCTGTTTCCTTATTTATTACAGTAGAGTCCCGCAAACTCGGCACTCGATAACCCGGCAGTCTGGATAACTCGGCCATCACCTGGCTCAGAAAATTAGGGATTTTTTGAGTCAGAGTTAAACATGGACTCGAGCCAGCTCAAGTCAAATCATTCTCAGCTCATACAAATGATTTGTTGTTCTATGTCTGATGACTTAATACTAACTTGTAATATAAATATAAATAAAAGAAGTAGTTAATAAGCTTAAAAATTGTATTGTTCATGTTTTTAACCCTAGTTCCCGATAACCCGGAATTTCACAAACTCGGCACCCTTCCAGTCCACATTACACCGAGTTTGTGGGACTCTTCTGTACCCAAGTTTTCTTTGCAATATTGTCTGAGTTTTAATTTTTCATCATAAAAGCTTTACTACTCTCCTATTATCTTATTTTTTAATCTTTGTTTCTCTGCTTAGAAATATGCAGGAGCTCATTATCACCTGTAGGCCCTACTTGTACCTGGTTAGGTCAATTTCGTTCAACTTTCTCCTTATGTTGTTTAAAACCTGTTTTAACTCTCTTTTCAGGAAAAAAACTAAGCTAAAATAGTATTTAAATATGTTGCCAAACAATATAACTCTTCTATTAGCTATATCACAGAAGTATAACAAAAGCTGAATCATATTTTACTTCTCTGTACAAAGGTAACCAGTTTTCATGACGCAATAGGCTAATGTGTAAGTCTTCGTTAATACACACACGTCGACAAATATAGTTCACAATTTATTGACAGTTCACAAATGTGTCGACGTGTGTTTATATGTATTAACGAAGACTTCTGTCGGATTCATTGACCAATTAATTTGATGTGGGTATGAAAATGGGTCATTGTACCCGAAACTAGTCACCCCAGACTAATTAAAAGACTTAAGAAAAGAGACTAGTTTTCATAGAGATAAACTGTGTTCCAGGCCAAATGCCATACTTCCAATTCGCCTGACATACATATATTCTAGCCGGTTACACGGCTGCTTAGTTCGGCCAGTTTTCAATTTTTGTCAGCTTGTGTATTTGCCTTTTGTTGTAAAATGGTATAATTGAGCAAGGTGTCAATGAAATTTTTTTTGTGGGGCTCGATATGTACCTATGCAACAAGAACTTGGGGAACAATGTAGGCCTACGTTTTTGAGTGGTATAAAAGTTTTAAAAAGGGAGAGACCTCAAACTGCCACAGCAATCTACATCCAAAGAGCCATCCTCCGCATAGATCGCCTTGGTCTCCCTAACGACATCAGAAGACCTTACAATACCAGACACACTTCAAGAATTTCTAACACTTTTATTGTTGCCAAACTGTAATCTTCTAATGAGTGAAGAGTGATGCTTTAAACTAAACGCAAGCTTAACACGTTCGGCCAATCAATGGCAGGCATATCCCCGGTGCGGCTCAGCGTCCAGCGAGCCAGATTGACGGGCAATTGGCCTTCAAATTTCGGTCTGTCGAATAGCAAATAACGTATGGTGATGTATTACGTTACAACGAGAGTCAACGTAGTTCGCTAAAACAGCCACAGATAGCCACACTGCTTGGAACGTAGCCAGTCCTATTGTATTGCCAATTGGAGGGAGAAAGACAGGACAACAAGTTGATTTCTAGGCTTGCCAGACGGGGATTTGACAGGAAAATTTACCACCAACCTACAACTTCAACAAAAAGCATACCACACACTACACAGTAACGTTTTATAGGTCCACCTTCGACAGAAGCTAGGCTTGCACTGAGCAACAGATTGATGTGATGCAGTGTGGATTTTGGGTCAGTACTGACCCGGCCGCGTGAGGGTTGCGATCACCATAGGTCAGTACTGAACCGCCTGCAGCGAACGTGTTAATGCCTGGTTGACCGAGAATCAAGTCTACACAGTGGAGGAGTTTATAAGAAAACTATCATAAAGACTATTCTTCTCATCTTGCTTTTAATTGACATAACTCATACTGTAACGTACATACATATCGTATGTATGTATTTGTGTTAACAAAGTTAACACAATTACTGCTCTCAAAGTCCATGTAATAAAGAATTTATATTTCTAATTCCTGATTTCTGGTGCACTCATTCGAATAGCAAGCATGTCGGGGTTCAATTTTTGACTCACTGGAAGTTATAACCATTGTGCCATTATGTAACTATACAATGGTAAATGTCTCATTAACACTCCTTAGCAAATAGTTAAAATAAAGTTTAAATACGCTCTACAAGATGCTAGGCAGAAAGTGAATGATTATATATCTTCATTAAAGATACCTCATGCAGGGTAATAGCCTATTAGGTATTATCTAGCTGGTAAAGCAATCACAAGAAAAGAAACAAATGTAATATTAAGTGAAAAGGTCAAGGTTAGGTGAAGGAATCTAAATCAATTGATTGTCATTGGAGCCAACATTTTACAAGAATAATAAGGTCTGAAAGATAGAAATTACTACACTTTAATTTACCTATTATGTCAATGGTGTCCACTATTGCTCTCCTTAACCTAAAACAAAGAAAAAACACACTGTTAGAAAGTAAAATAATAGACACCACTTCATTCAATATTTATCCAGTTTGTTGATGTTTGTCCTGACCATTGTAAAGCTTAGTTAAACAATGTTGTAAAATGAGCCAGCTGTTTCTAAAAATTACTCTTTCTTTAGCCTACAAGTAATTAAAGGCATACAAGTGGTCTAAGTTTTGATTAAGATTTAATTTTTTCTCTTCTTGTCTACACCAGTGGCTTTTCACTGGAGGTACTGCAGTGTTCTCAAATGCTTTAAAAGCAAGCGGTAGCCCATATGATTTGAGAGTGTACTACGGATCAAACCCGTCCCTTTCGTACCAAAGTCCAAGAAGCTAACCACTAGACTTGCAACAACCACATTTGACTTGTGTGGAGGCTTAAGTATACCAAATGTTAAAGATTCAAATAGAGAGCCTATCTGCTGTGATTGTAATTTATCCAAAAACTATTTTTTTATTCTTTTATCGACTATTAATTTTTTTAATAAAAGCTAACCAAACTTTCTCTAAACTCTGGGGACGTGGGAAGTTAACTGCTATTCTATTAAAACCTATGATACAAAATTTATTACTTTATCTTCTAATCGCCATTTATGGTAGAAATTATGTATCTTAGGCTTAAATGCTGCACCAATCAAGCCTTTTTTATATCTATCTAGAGAAAGAAGTAGGCTTTTGCTTTCTCTTTTCAGAGTAGGCCTACTGGTTAATAATTATAAAATAACTCATTTGAGTACATATTTTTCTTTTAATTATACGCTGATTTATTATTTGAAACATCTGTCGATATTCTTTGATTCTTTTTAAATATGAATACCCATAAGAGCCAATGGGTGGAGCCCTGGGGGAGTTTGAAAATGGGAATTGGCAGAAACTTTCCACAGTGAGTGTATAGAACAACTTCCCAAAGTATCTTCATGATGGGATTGCTGGTTTGGTAAAGCATAAAGGAGAAACATACGACAAACAGACATACATTGCATTTTATGTTTAAACATGCAAACATATTGGTTTAGTGTTAGAGCTACATAACTACATAGGAAAGAAGATACTTGTGTTGTAGATTTAACCCGGAGTCAGTCAAGGATCTTTCATTGGTGTAATTAGAGCATATTTCATATTCTTACTGCTCATTTCATGAACATAAATACGACTGGGACCGTGGCGTTGTCCTGTTCCAGCTACGTGGAGGTCACGAATTGTGGATATTTATAGGCATGATCCGTGGATGCCATACACCCTGATGTGGATTAACGTCCGCACTAGTGAACTGAGCTTTCCATTGCTTATTTTGGGTCCCTCTCACAAAGCCAAAGACACAGACAGCCTCGGTAAACTCATTAGTTGCATTATAGGCTAATAGCCTACCTGATATAGACAGGATCCAAACCCATTTGTCTAAAGCAAGCGTATTATTTCTTAGGCTGACAATCAGGTTGCAGCATATTCCTGATATAATTTTAGCCTAATATTTGATTAATGTTTGCATAGATGGTTGGAAATAAGGGTTTGATTATGTTACTAGACGATCAACATATACTGAGGCTCAAAGGGTTAAGCCAATCTATGTTTTTAAACCCTTACAAATAAAAAAATTTAGTTAGTAGGCTATTGTGAGCTCTATATAACCATATTGTTGATTTGTCTTTTGAAGATATACTGCTTCAAAATATAAACTAAAATTGGGCCAAAAACCGTGAAAGTAAGACATAACTAAGTAGGCAGTGAGCACTGCACAATAAGATTTATGTTTATTTGAATAGGTAGGTCATAGTGTTAACAAAAGTACCCTTGGAAGCAGGATCAGGTATGACTCTCAACTGCATTTCTGAAAACAATAAACTAACATAACTTAGATAGCCTAACTTACTTGCTGGTTATAAAGCAGAATTTTAAGATTTGTTACACAACCTTATATTTAGTAGATTCCCCGCTTCTTCAACTTACTCTGGCAATTGCTTGTATCAAGCAATTCAACAATCAACAAACAACAGCGCTGCTGTTTCTAGTAAATGTTTATCTACCTACTTTCACAAGAAAATCAGCTGATATTATTATTTTCAGTTGATATTTATTTGTCTAAGGGAAAATTATAAAATTTAATTTAAACTGTAGGAGTGACCATCCTTTCAAATAAGAAGCTCCAAGATTCAGACAAAAATGCAACTTTTATGTTGGCTTTTACCTAACTCCAGAGGAGTTTTTAGATGTAGAAGACAAACATTGTCCAAAACAGCTATCTTAACCTCTAAATAATAAATGCATCAATCAAAACTAACTTTATCCGGCAAAGCTGGTCTTGGTGAAGAGGAAGGTAATCAGGTAATCAGGTAAGCTACTGTCACTCTCCCGTCAGAGGACAAGATGCTAACCACTACGCCAGCAAGACAAATTTTGTAAACCTGGTTCTCCTAATAGGATGATAAAAGTATATGGCAAATTTGAGACTGTATAACCTTTTACAGGAGTATTTGATCCTAACCTTATTCCCACCACATAAAGATAGCCTAATCCTAAATTGAATATTGAGATTAATGGATGTCCTAGTTGGGATCAACACCTAACCTCATTAACCATCATTACACTTAATAATATTAAAAATTATTAATTATATAGGAAAGTAGGTTAAGTTACTTACTTGACAAAGGAAAGCTTATTAAAACTTGTCCCGTAGGCCTAAGTTAGGTCATAGTGATTTACAAGGGTTAATCCAAACTTAAGTTATTAGGCTAAAATTGCCTTTTAATCTAAAACAACAGAAACAAGGCCAAATACGTTCTTTTAAAAGTTTATTTAAGTTACAGATGAAATTATTGAACAGAAAGTCTCTTCAGTTTTCATACACCCCTTTCCAGACTTGCCAACTGTCCCGATTAAGTCCCTTATGCCCGTATTTATGCCTACTCATGTTAATCCGGAGGGAGGGAGCAAGTCCAAATATTTTCCTAACCAAAGGTGGTAGCTTAATCCTGCCCCTTACCTGCAATAACATAACATTGGTTTTTACAAAGTCGGTACCGGTAGGTACATTTAAGTTACAATACCTACTGTAATTTACCTCTTCTTCGAATCTCCTTTTTGTTCCGATTTCAAACAAATTATGAAATAAATGTCTTGTGAGGGTGGCCTAGTACCTAGCTAGGTGTGTGCCAGTGCTAAATATTCAGTCATACTTAGTACCCGTAGGCTATAAAACACCTTATGCGCAAAGACAGACATGTATTCTCAGTTGAAAGGGTCATTCATGAGCTCTTCACTAACTCCATTAGCTTAAACCAAATGAGAGCATCTAAGGTACCCTGCGGAATTACCACAGACACTCCAATCGGAATTGGTGACTGCTGATGTTTCGAGAATTTCTTCTGGTCTCTCAAGGTGAGAATCAAGACAGTGTAACAGGATGTACTTATTAATTTCTTCCAACAGGTATTAAACTACAAAAATACATACACTTTTTAAATATTTACTTTCCACATGGGAGCTGAAGAGATGTTTTGCACCCCCTTTTGATAAATGTGTTTTACTAATTTCATTTTTAACTCATATAAAAATACTGTTCTTGATTTTTATTTTGTAAACATCTAACTCTTACAACTAGATGTATAAAACTCTAAAGACAACTCACCACCTCACCTAATATATGCACCTAACATTAAAAATTCCAGTTTCCAGTTGTAGTGCTAGAACAGAAAACCACTTGCTTCATTCTCTTTGAGTTGGAATTATTCTGGAAAGCACCCTCATTGGTCTTTGACTGAGCTGCTCGCTGTGCTGTGCCCCGTTGGCTTGAATTTAAAGGTGGAGTCCAAATGTGAATCAAAATTAATACCCTACTAAACTAAATAATTGTTTCAGTAGTTAATAAACTGATTATTTACTAACGAAATAACTTCTATAAGTCCAGTTGTATAAACACCAAAATACCAAATCATTTTCACTGTCGGTCGGTGTCTAGGGAGCTGAAGGAAACATTTATCATGGTGGCGGTGAACCACAGTACTCAAATATACATCTCTTCAAATTGGTCATGTATACGATGTACACTTACTCGTTAAATATTATGTTGAGCAGTAATTTTGAAGTTTTTTCTGCTTAAGTAATGCAGAATAATATAGTTTTTGACGCAAATATAATTTTAATTGTTAACTTACTGTCGAAGGATTGCGATAAGGGAGAAAAGAGTGCAACTTTAATTCTGTTATGTTGGGAACACTTCTCACAGCTGTTACGCATCAGAACTGCTACTACTTGTCTACCAATCGCGTCGTTTCTTTAGGTGGCGGTGACTGTCCCAAATGTTAGCTTCTTTTCTTCACCTAGAGTTTGGGTTTGGGTTGAATTGGCATAAACACAGTGGTAGTGGGCCTATAACTTGTTTACTGCTAACCTCTTAAAATTATTATATTCTCAATACTACGTTGTAAAATAAATAACAAACTGATGTTATTTAATATGGATTCTAGATAGTACAAACAAATTCAACTCTGTTAAAATGTCTAGCAGAAATTAAAACAAAAATTTAACTTACTTCAGTCTAGTTGTTTACCTAAAATATCAATAGGCATTACCAAATTTTAGTAGGATTGATTTAAAAAACTATTACTGTACCTCTTTTAAGCCATGTCTTAAAAATACAGATTATCACACCAATATTACTTAAGGTATTTGTGATTTTAAGTTGTAACAAAACAATTTCAACACTGATTTAATATTTTTCTCACAATTGCTTAAAATTTAAATAATATTTATAAGCCTATATTTAAAACTGATGGTCTGGTTAGTTTATAGCACACAAGAACCTAAAAAAAAAACTTTATTTATCTGTTTAGCATTTAGAATATTTTCAACGATAAAATAACAAAATTGTCTTATACTTCAACTCCTGTAGCCTAAAGTTACAAAATCTTTTAACAAGTAAGGCTAATTGTAGAAGTTAATTGTTCCCAAGTCTATAGGTCATACCGTGCCACCTACGGTAATA